GGACTCTTAAAGGCGCTGAAGAGCACGGAAATCTAGATGACGTCATCTTCGATGGTATCACGAAAATTACTGTAATGTTTACGTATATGACACTCATTTTGGTTATACGGCATCTGCCTACTAATGTAAACAGTACTATTCCCAGATCTGTCGAACTCGTTTTATTGTGCTGGTTTTACGACTTATCCCAAACGTTTGTCTTTTTTTATAGCTGTAGATTTCTTATCGCCTTTCATAAGACTTTAGACAGCTTGGAATTAGAAACACTGACTGAAAGATAATAGTCCACCTTTTAGTTTATGTAAGGTATAATTTACTTCCTTTTGACACTTATATAAAAGTACTCATAATCTTTTGGATATAAATTCAGAATTATAATGAAATAATGAAAGTAGCATAGTAAAATCTTATAAGATACACACGAGTAAAAATATCTTATACGAACTCCCGTATGGAGTATCTTTTTATTAAATTTAAGTGGGCAATTGCGGCCAGCGTATGCAGTGTTCTTGGTTGCAAATAATTTTAAATTGGTGTCGCTCACACTGTTGCAATGCTGGATCTTAATATAGAATGTTTTATAGAGCATAATGTATGAATGGTCTAAATTTATATCGCAAATAGTATAGTCCAATTAATAATGATGATGATGATAGTGATATCTCATATCGAGTTGCATATTGGTTTAGCATAAATCTTACGACCTGTCTGTATAACGTCTGCCGGAGAATAGTATCGTTGGCATAAGAAGACAGTAGACGAAGTTGCGATAGGCAGCGGCTTGGCTCTGCCCCTGGCATTGCTGAAGTCCATGGGCGACGGTAACCACTCACCATCAGGTGGGCCGTATGCTCGTCTGCCTACAAGGGCAATAAAAAAAAAAAAGTTTCTTAGTAACCTTTTAACGCCACCCACGGGAAGATATCTTTTTATTACCGGAAGATACCCGGGTACCACACAGCTCCAATATCGATTCTAAGTTTCTTATTATTTGTAATGCAAAAAATTATGATAAAGACTACAATTTTGCAGTATTATTGGGTAATTTAGAGAAAAGAAACAAATGAATAAAATTACATCATCAAAAATGCTTTGCGGGACAAGAATAGTTATTTTTTCATCTCGCGAAATTTCAGTATTTTATGTTTTTTGTTTAAATTCAAATAAATATGTAACAAATTTCACAGAATTGTTCCATTGTCTTAAACAATTCGGCAAATATATGATTTATCTAACGGAATTCATTTTTACTTACGGAATAAATGTTAGTCTTCAAATTGGCATAAAAATTATTATTAACCTCTCGATTTTAGTTATTAATTTTTTTTATTGTGTTCATTTTGTTCGTTTTGTTGGTCGATCCAAATAGTATTAAATTGATATAATATATCATCCAATAATAACATTTGACTTTTAAAAAAAACAGTCTAACAAAACTTTTCAATTAGAATTTGGTGGCATTGTAACCGTATTCCTAAGTATCACCAGCCTGTGTTTTTTGCTGCGAAGCAAGCATGCTTTCCGGCTCGAACTGTTGGGACAGCCGTTATCCAATTAAAACTTAGACCTCATGTCTCAAGGTGGGTGGCGGCATTCACTTCGCGACTTCTGCCGGCTCCGTTAACCTCTGAACACAATGTGGGCCACAAGTTGGTTTTTTTTTTTTTTTGCTTAGATGGGTGGACGAGCTCACAGCCCACCTGGTGTTAAGTGGTTACTAGAGGCCATAGACATCCACAAAGTAAATGCGCCACCCACCTTCAGATACAAGTTCTAAGGTCTCAAGTATAGTTACAACGGCTGCCCCACCCTTCAAATCGAAACGCATTACTGCTTCACGGCAGAAATAGGCAGGGTGGTGGTACCCACCCGCGCGGACTCACAAGAGGTCCTACCACCAGTAAACGATCACAGTCCATGCAAATATGAACTAACTTTTACGCTATCGAGAACGTTAAAAAACTCGCACTAAGCACACAGAACGATAATGCCGCTACCTGCCTAGAGATAAGAGGAAATATTTGTTAGTCGAAACAAAACGTGCTCGGCTGTTACAAATTAAGTATAAAAACAAAATGATTTCAACAAAATTTAGACAAAAAGGTTACCTTGGGAAGTGCACGGCTGTAATGCCCAAATTTGTTACACTATACATGAAAATAATTGTACAAAAAATATCGGCAGTGAAGTCGGATTTATATTTTTTGTAAATCGCTTCAATATCGATTTTCTTCGTATGTTTTTGCTGTTGTTTTCTTCACGAAATCTAGAACTTCAGGAAATAAGTTTTAGAAGAAATAAAATATTGTGTCTTTAATGTCGAGCGATATTTCACTTTTCGTCTGGACAAGTTATATGGGTTTAAAAGTCTATCAAATCCATAAGCTCAAATAAATGAAGCTTTGTAGTCATTATTGACCTGACAACGTCTTATAATTCGATAGAGCCGGCTGCACGCACGAAAAAACATGACTCATTGAGGCGTTCCATTTAAGGCTTGAAGTGCAAGCGAGAGCGCGCAACGAGCGACAAAGACAATCGACCTCCGCGTTCGGCAGCGTTCGACATCTGTCTCTCTCCTGCTTGAGTGAGCGATGCATCCGCGTGGACAGCTGCTATATAATAATACATTTACATGTTTTCGTGAAGTATGAAGTTCAGTGAAAAGTGAATGTGGTGTCCATACAAAATATATATCAAACAAATTAAATTAAAATTTTCTTTTGAAAAATGAAACCATTCCATCAGTATTTTCTTATGACGTTGTCACGTTCAACTATCGTCAGTAAACCGACTTTACAGGCAACCGTTTTTTATTTTTATTTTTTAATTGATTTGTAAGAGAAAATCAGAAAGTGCCATCTGAGAACAAAACATCCCAACGTAACAAATATTTCTATTTGTTACGCATAACAAGTTAAGATCAAAATACTAGTAACAAACGGTTTTACGGAAGCGCTTGTTAAAGTTAAGTAAATAGTCGAAAACGAAAAAGAAAAATGCCACGAAATTCAATAGTGTCACTGATTTCCTCATTTAAAATAGTTACCTAATTGTGTATTCGGCAACAGAGCGGTACAGAAAAGGACAGATTGTGTATAATAATATAATCATAATCTCATTGAATGTGGAACTATAATTCAAACCAAATTTCAATTCGTATTTTTATAACATAAAGGACAAATATACCAACAAATAAAATCTACTTTATTTTGAAAGGTTATTAAATTATGCTGAGTAATATAAATAAATATAAAATATAAATAGTTTAAATGCTGAGTAACCTGTACTATGAACACGACCTTTATTTATTTCGGAATAAACAACATTATTAGGCTTCATTAACATCTCTGTAAGGAATTTTCTGTAAAGATTTGCCTTTTAAAAATTAGCAGCTTGGGCTTTTTGGTTATGATTAGACGGTCTCGAATAATTTCTATTTTACATCATTGATTCTAAATCATTCGTTAATATAAAATATCTTGGGACATTAATCGGTGCAATTTGTTTTAATAAACAATGATAAACGCGATTTTCACCTCACAATTGAAGTAGTTTTCCCCGAAGGTTTTTATGCTAGAATGAACTCTTTGGCACCTTTCACCTAGAGTAAACTAGATGACATTTGACAAAACAATTTGTCATGAGTGAATCTTGGGCCGCAGAATTAAGTGGATAACAGAGAAAATTAAACACAAAAGCTCCTTCGATGTTCAGGACACCATTTTCAATCGTAAATCTGCCTTACGTCACGTGTGTCTATAAATGAATGTTCTGTATAAACAAGTACTTATTGCCCTGATAATTTTCATGTTACAAAAGGTAATATATTCATGTAACCGATCCTTAAAATTATTTAATAGTAGTCAATAATGTGGGCACAATGTTTAATGACACTTGGAGGTTAAAAGCAAGTTTCTCGCAATGTCATTTAGGTCACTCAGTCAGCAGAAGGCGTAATATTATACATACTCGTAATATGCTGTTTTTATGAAGTAAATGTTTTGCACGAAACGAAAAGTGAACGTTTGTTTTAAGTGCACTGTAGTGCTTGCATTGAATATGCTAAAAGGAAATTTGAAAGTAAATAAACAAAACGATTTGAAGGAAAAAACTCATCGGTTTTCATACAGATAACTTGAAACGTTGCGATAAGGAACGCATTATTTTTGTACTATAATATCACTTCAAAGAATTTCCTAATTGGAAATTTTTTAATGACAAAGTGATTAAACTTAGCCCAAATTAAGGAAAATGATAATAATTATTAATGATACAATTTTTCCACATTTTTGGGGTAGCCGACATTGCGATCTAATCTAATTATTATTTCTGAAGTTCGTGAACATTCTGAATTTGCAATGCCGGATAGGATCACATTACGGTAATAAATAGAACTAAACTTATATAGGTATTTAAAAATATCTACATATTTTTGGTTGCAGAAGTGTGCCTCAGCGCCCACAAAAATACATGTCCGTGAACCACACAAGCCTTGTAAATCATTTTTCATAATAAAAAATACAAGGCTTAGATGTTCAAGTATTGATTCAATAGTTACCATTTATAAACTAGCTTTCTGCTCGTAGTTTCGCTCGCTTGGACTATACTCGTAGATTTCGTGGGAGAAGACCCCTGCGTAGCGCTGGGTTTCTCTGGTTGAAAGGTAGCCTGTAGTATTTCTCGGGGCTCAAAATAATTTTCATACCGACTTTCCTTAACTTAAAATCTTGTCAACACTCGTAGTTACTGTGGTGATAACGTACGATGCCTCTGTCCTACATAGTTCTGTCGTGAAGCAAACATGCGTGCCAATTGGAACGATCGGACGTTTTGAAGGTGGTAGTGGCATTTACCTTATTATTTAGGCCTTTAGTTCATGAAGCTCAGGTATCATTCATATGTCTATAGACATCTATAGATGTCTGGGGACCAAAGGGCCTAAACTAATAAATTATTATAATACATGTTATGTAATACTTTCTTTCCGTTTGTTACAGATTTAGAGCCGAGACGCCGAAGTACGACACAAAAAAACGAAACATAACAAAAAATATCGAAAGAATATAATATATCTACGTCTAGTCAAAGCATTCACAATATAATTGAAACATTGCAAACGAAAAAATAAAAATAAACGTAATGAATCACTAAAATGAAATAAACTGTGTTATTAGGATATTAAATAGAATTATTAAGTTTGTACTTATTTAGTTTATCAATTAATAAGTTCACTAGTTTAAATAAAAATGCAAATACTAAAGGCAAGATTCGCGTTACGCGCCACAGCGTCGCAATTCCAGGCATGGAGCTCGGCCAAAACTCGGACAGCTGCTACGGTGAGTGAAATGAATCATTTTTAAAGTCATTAACGACCGTCTGGTGTAGTGGTAAGTGACATGGTCACTACACAAGGGGGTCGCGGGTTCGAATCCCGCCAAGGCAGGATATTTGTATGATAAATATAAATGTCTTTTCCAGGGTTATGGATGTATATTAAATATATGTATGTGTATAATAAAAATCTTACATTTATTTCCGTTATGTGGTACCTGTAACACAAGTTCTTTACGAACTTAGCACGGGACCAGTTAACGTGGCGTGATTGTTAGTAAATTTATTTTTAACATTTTTTTTCTCTTGGGCTTTCGCTGGTCGTCAACATAATTAAAAGTTTTAAGGTTAATTGTCATTATATAATTTCTGACGTTTGAAATACTGTACAATTTACGTGGTCACGGACGACTAAGGTGTTTTTCGTCGACATTTGAGTACTGTGCTTACTACCGTCGTCTATCTTTCTATGTAAACTATTTCTTGACTTAGGATTCTATTCGCACTGAAATACGTACTTGTAAGCTTGAGATCTACCAGTAGGTTTACCGGTAGGCAGCGGCTAGGCTCTGCCCCTGGCATTGCTGAAGTCCATGAGCGACGGTAACCACTCACCATCAGATGGGCCGTATGCTCGTACGCGTACAAGGGCAATAAAAAAAAATGTTTGTTTGGAAAAATGTAATGACACTTAAAAAATCGAGATTAAACAGTAAAGGTACTTATAATTGTGTCATTAACATGTCACTAAATATTAGCCAGGCGAACCCATTGCCCATTTGCTGCGAATCGTTTGCCGGGGCTCGTGATTCCGAAGTATTGATAGAAAACCAACTAGAAAACCACTTATACCCCAAAATCATTATAACCATTTTTAATTTTTATTTCTTAGATGGATGGACGATCTCACAGCCCACCTGGTGTTAAGTGGTTACAGCAGCCCATAGACATCTACAACATAAATGCGCCACCCATCTTCAGATATAAGTTCTAAGGTCTCTAGGTCTAAGTATAGTTACATTTCTTGGTTTTTTTTTTTCGAAAATCCACCCGAATCAATCTCGTCACAAGCTTAACTCGTTGTCAATTAACAAAAACCAAATGTCTGTCCTCATTATATTATATGGCGCCAGCGGCAATAGGCAAGAGAGAGATAACGAGATTTATCCATGACACGCGTACATTAAGCAACGTAATTAGTAGTACGTCATTTTAAAAGATCATTTTTTTACCGTGTTCATAAAATATTTTCTTCATTCTTTTTTTTTTTTAATAAAGCTTCTTTGTCAAACGTACGAAATATTTCTATTAGCAAGTTGTGACGGTTGTAGTAAAATATAGTGTAACTAAAGTGGCTCTCAAAGGGTTAAGACTGTCTTGCCTCTGAGACTACTCAAAAATGACGTCATTGACGTTGTCATCCTCACCATCATCATCATCAGCCTATAGCAGTCCACTGCTGGACATAGACCTCTCGAATTGCACGCCACAGAGCACGTCCTCTGGTTCTCACGTCCAGCTTTTGCCAGCTACCCTGCATAGATCGTAAATCTACGGAGTCTGAGGCCGTCCTACACTACGTTTGCCTATTGACGCCGTGATGTCTCTGAATTCCGGTGACCCCATTAAAATCAAATGTGCTCGTCAATCGATCCAGTGCAAAGGTATAAAAAAATACGACTGTTACGAAGATAGATTGTAGGTTAGTTACGTTTAGAAAAATGTTCAAGGGCATCCTCCACGTTAGTAATAGGTAGGTTAATGTAATTGTTTAATGTATTATATTGTGAATTTAGAATATAATACATTATTGAATAATCTTGCGGTAGGCAGCGGCTTGGCTCTGCCCTTGGCATTGCTGAAGTCCATGGGCGACGGTAACCACTCACCATCAGGTGGGCCGTATGCTCGTCTGCCTACAAAGGCAATAAAAAAAAAAGTTTTTACTTAGTGAATTAGTTTTCTTTATCGTGTTGTTTTGTCGTAATTGTAAGGAACGTTGTTGTACAAATTCAGCGCTACCTATGTCTTGTTTTGTCGTGCGCACATAACTTATGTTGCAAGCCCGATTTTATTTCTTTTTACTTGTGTTTTTTATGTATTTTTTAGCTTGTGATGTGTATTGTGAGCCTAATAAATAAATTGAAAAAAAATACGAAGTTCAATAACCAGATAGACCGTATCGGCTGACACACATCAAGGCTCCTTAACGTTTATCGATCGTAACATTAATAAGCTGAACGCGATTAGGCATTATCAAGTTTGTTATGAATTATAACGGAATTTGTTTGCAATAAAATAATATAATCCGTCATATTTATGTGGAAATGAGTTTTAAAGCCGCGATAAGGATCCGGATTTACATAAAAAGAGTTTTTCGTATACCTACAAGCAAGCGAGTATATAATTTACTGGTGGTAGGGCGCAGAGTCCGCACGGGTAGGTAGGTACCACCATCCTGCCTATTTCTGCCGTGAAGCGTTTTGGTTTGAAGGCTGGTACAGTCCTTGTGCTGTAAAACTGTGACTTAGAACTTATGTGCCAAGATGGGTGGCGGGATTTACATTGTTGACGTCCATAGACTCCGGTAATAACTTAATAACAGTATTAAAACTTATCAAAACAAATAGTGATGGATTTTCTGAAATTAGGCTATCTAACATGCATACGTGTTATCTGTATCGCCAAAGCCAATGCCACATAAACCGCTATAACATTATATAATAGTAATAAAAGCACATAATTGCATTAAATTTATTTGTTTATTGCGATCGTTCAATGGCGTATTTGAAATTTTTTTTTTGTTTGTTGAAAAATAACTCTGTCGAAAACCGTACAAGGTGTAAGCAGGCCGTGGCTCCAAACAATAGTATGTTCCGATCACTAATTTAATTATTTACGTTATTTGTTGGATTAGAGCCCAAAGGAAAAAAAAATTAAAATAATTCCGATACACCCTGTATAAATGTAGTTTATTACGGCGTTCTTTAGGTACATAACATATAACTTCACGTTGTGTTTTAAAAATTTTTTGTTGATAAATTACTAATTGACTTTATTACGACGGTTGTAAAGAAAAATAACAGGTGGACAGTGAATTTATCTGCATATCTAAACTGATAATATAAATTGTTTTGTTTCAATAATTTTATTTGAATATTATCTTCTGATCATCAATTATTTACACCTAAACAGATTTATCCTACGAAACGTTGACAAGAAATAGTTTACGTTTATTCTACACTTGCGGACAAAGTCACGTCGACGTGGTGCTAATTGGTTCCGACATCTCGACTTGAATTACCCCAAGATGAAGCAAGAAATCGTAGTCTGAATTATAATTTAACACGTTCATCGCCATGACGGACACTGTGTCCACGACATACTTTTCCCTAGGGCCGCACTAATTAGTCAAGAATCGTCCAAAAATAGATCTTTTTTTTTTTTTTGCAAATATTGTCAGGAAATAAGTCAAAAATAATGAGTGACTTACGGAAAGAGTGTCTACTGATTATTTTCCGGGGGATGTCAAATGACACACACACGCTCTGCCCCGACCTAGTGGTGTCCGTTGTGACCCACTGGGCTAAACATGGTTGTTACCCTGGCGTTCAACGTGTCAAAAAGACCCGCCCTCCCTTTAGCTGAAAATTATAATCACTTCATTCCCAGTTAAATGGCTAGGGTTATCACTGTTTGCTTTTTTTATAATTCCAGGACTCGAAGATAGTGGAATACAAACCAATCAGAAGCGTTCTTGTTGCGAATCGCGGTGAGATCGCCATACGTGTCTTCCGAGCATGCACGGAACTAGGCATCCGTTCTGTGGCTATTTACAGCGAACAAGACAAACTGCAAATGCACAGGTATGGAGACGACACAGTAACGTTAAAACAACATTATTTGTGAGAAAAGATATGTGATTGACGTCTGTAATTTAAGAGGCTGCAACAACATCGCGAACTTATGTCATTCTTATCGGTGTAAGCGGACAGTAATGCTCTTGGTCTGTCGCTAGGCGCTTACGGGGCACATAGATATCATAAAGTGAAAGATGACATTTGACTTCGAGATTTGAGATCGGAATCTTTTTTATTTTGCGTACTATGTCTGCTCCAGCCATTGAGAAGTCTTGCGTCGCGATCTCTAAATAATGATAAACATATGTACAGTTTTATATTACCTCCTTCCACCGATAACTTACACGCAAACACAGTGGATTGTTTTTTGAAATTGATGAATGTGACACTTGCTATTAATATATTTTGACTTACTCGCTTTAATGATTTATTAATTGACTTTTTTAGACAAAAAGCCGACGAATCGTATATAGTCGGAAAAGGTCTGCCACCAGTCGAGGCCTACCTCAGCATCCCGGAGATCATCAGGGTTGCGAAGGAGAACGACGTTGACGCCGTACATCCCGGCTACGGTCTTTTATCTGAAAGGTATGTCCATAAAAAATACACGAGTAAACCGCGATAAATTAATTAGAAGAATATATGCGCAGAATTACGGGCAGTGGATGGAGAGGAGAGGCCCAGGATCGGGTCCAACAGTGGACTAAATATTTAGCCTATTGAAGCTGTTAAATAATATCTTTTAATTCGCGTCCTTACGGATCCATCAGATCCAGAAAGGTTATTTATTACCTTTGCATTAGATGCCTTCAGCTCTAACACTAGGAGCAGGCTTAGGAACCCCGGTAACCGTACTCGTCGAACTCAACAAAGAGGTCGACGTGCGACCTAACCCATGCATCAGCTCGCTGAGTTTCTCGCCGGATCTTTTTAGCGGGTCGCGATTGCGATCCGGTAGTAGATTCGTTCGCGAAGCAGCTGCTCTTGAGTTGTTAGGTCTCCTTCGGAGGCGCTCGGGCAGCTGTTAGCAAATCATTCCACCCCTCCTGGCTGAGCCTTTGCTCGCCCACCTGTCCCGGTGAAACTGGAAAGGCCTCCGGGCTCAAGTAATCCTTCAGTTCTAAAAAAAAATCTTTTAATAATAAACCATTGATAAATATAGACTTAGTATAAACAGCTGCATCCCAACCCTGCAGGGCCGATTTCGCCCAGGCCATCATTAATGCCGGTCTGCGGTTCATCGGGCCCTCGCCCAAGGTCGTGCAGCAGATGGGAGACAAAGTAGCCGCCAGAAAAGCTGCCATCGAAGCAAGTAAGTTTTCTTGTTTACAATTTACAATGTGAATCGTATTTATCTTCTCCAGGTTAGAATCTTATACCTTTAAACGAGCAATTCTTGAATATTAATATATATATATATATAATCTGAATCTCGGAAACGTCTCCAACGATTTTCATAAAATTTAGTATACAGGGGATTTCGGGGGCGATAAATCGATCTAGCTACGGTTTATTTTCAGAAAACGTTGTTTTATTCGTGTTTTCAATAATCAACTCTTTCCGACATCTATTGGCGAATAATAATACAATTTTTCTTAATTGAGGGCAACCAACCGCTTTAAAGACACAACAAGATGGCGTTATCAAAAAAAAAACCGAGCAAAGCTCGGTCATCGTCTACTGTTACTTATACAACAAATATACATCTGTGATGGAAAATGAAGTAGCCTTGCATAGTTTGGACGTCACTAAAGGAAGAGTTAGGCGCTAGATGTAGCGCCAAATGACTAGATGTTGGCGCAAATAAAACCAATGAATTATATAGTTTGTGTATCCTCTTATAGTGCGAAAAAAGCGAACCAACTATACATAACGCAGCATTGGTAGATTTATGTTGATAATTGACTCCAGCTAGATTTTCAACTCTTTGCAGACACCTCAAATAATTATATTATATAAGAATTTAAAATATAATAAAGACAAGGTAATAAAAAATATAAATATCAAGAAAGGTGAACAATGAGGAAAATATCATAATAAAAATGATTCGATTTCTACATAAATATTATCTCTATGTGTTGCACAATGATGTAAACTCATTCGCGAGGCAGCTGCCCTCGAGTTGTTAAGTCTCCTGAGGAGACGCTCGGGCAGCTAGTTAGCAAATACCATGTCTTCTGGCTGTGCCCGTGCTCGCCCACCTATCCTGGTGAAACCGGAAAGTCCTTCGGGAAACTAGTAATTTTCCATTAAAAAAAACAATGACGTCAATTTTCATGAATTATACCGCAAATTTTAAACCAACTAGTGCTCTATAAATAGTCGTCATCAAAAACTCAAATTTCTCTGAAACCTTAAGACTTCAATAACCAATTTCAAATATTCATTAAACGAATCATCTCTAAAAAATTAGCTTTAATAGGCACTAACTACATTATTGACACATCCAGTTATTATGAGATCATGGGTCATTCGAAAACTATTTTTTTATTACATAATTGACTTCAAGATTAAATTCTTTTGACATTTGTATTATTATTTTTTTGTAACAATCTATCTATCTATATATAAATATAAAAATGAATTGCTGTTCGTTAGTCTCGCTAAAACTCGAGAACGGCTGGACCGATTTGGTTAATTTTGATCTTGAATTATTTGTGGAAGTCCAGAGAAGGCTTAAAATGTAGATAAATATGAAAAGGCTCGGAATTAAATAAAAATAACAATTTTGTTTTTCCTTTGATATGTCCGCCGTGGGACGGATTCCTTTTGTTTGTTTTAAGTTTATTTTGTACAAAAGTTCAGGTCTTTTATTTATCGATTGAGGCACTACGAAGTCTGCCGCGTCAGCTAGTATTGTAATAATTTCGTTCATTACAGAGGTGCCGATTGTTCCCGGAACCGATGGTCCGGTCACAACGAAAGAGGAGGCTGTGGAGTTCTGCAAAAGTCACGGTCTTCCGGTTATCTTAAAGGTGCCTATTTCTTATTTATTTTTCATTTGAGTTAACATATATTTCATTGGGCTAATCATATATATAGGGCATGCGTATCATCAACGACACCGGAAAAGTTTCAACATATCCAAGTATTTAGGTACCCAGCTAGCCTTGATTGTGCTTAGTGCGAATTTTTTAACTTTCTCGATAGCGTAAAAGTTAACTAAAATTTGTCTGGAGTTGAAACGTTTGCCTACGTTTGCCGTTAGGGGCGCTGTTTTGTTTTGAGTCTTAAATCTAATTATACCATAAATTTTCGGACTCGTTGCTAGAATTGATATCGCTCTAAAGTCTAAAGCAATCTTAAATTTTAAACACATTGTTTTCATAATTTACAATTTATTGATTTTGTTTCAATCATGAGTTATAGTAATTGTATTACTGGTGGTAGGACCTCTTGTGAGTCCGCGCGGGTAGGTACCACCGCCCTGCCTATTTCTGCCGTGAAGCAGTAATTCGTTTTGATTTGAAGAGTAGGGCAGCCGTTGTAACTATACTGAGATCTTAGAACTTATATCTCAAAAGGTGGGTGGGCTGTGAGCTCGTCCACCCATCCAATAAATAAAAAAAGTGTGTTAATTACAAATTGTATTCAGGCTGCGTACGGAGGCGGCGGTCGTGGTATGAGGGTGGTCCGTAAGATGGAAGAAGTGCCTTCGGCTTTCGAACGAGCTTCTTCAGAAGCTCTCGGCGCTTTCGGCAACGGTTCTATGTTTATTGAACGATTCATCGAACGACCCCGGCACATCGAAGTACAGTTATTGGGTAAGCTTTTTAAACACTCTTTATGCGTATGAATTTCATAAAAAAACAGTTCAATTTAGGAGACAAATATACGGCAAACAAAGTGAATGAAATTATTGTTAAAAAATGGTGCGCATGCAACTTGGTGCATGTGAAAGAAGTGAAACTTCTTTTGCGGTCTGTAGTTTTGTTTTCTTCATTTCTCATCCTTAAACCAAATATCTCTTGTAATAAGCTGTGTATAAGAGAAACAACCTAGTTCGCATTCTCCGCGGTCTAGTGGTTCGCGAGACGCCCTATTTTCTCGCTCTTCCTAAATTGTATCTTTTCTATCTAGCCGTAACGAATCTGCCGCGAATTAAATTTTAATTTCAACGTGCCTAAAGAAGTTTCACTTCGAAAATGCAAAATTCTGAAAACATTATGAAGTCGTGTTTGTTAACAGGCGACAAAGCCGGCAACGTTGTGCACTTATACGAACGGGACTGTTCGGTACAGAGGAGACATCAGAAAGTCGTCGAAATTGCTCCTGCACCGAAACTGGACCCTAAGGTTTGACAATTATATTATAACGTCTTGGATTTAATGTTCACATAACACCTGCCACTTCAATAATATCAGACGATTTGAATTCGTTGAGTGTGACGATAAATCGTGGCAAGAGCAGCCCAATGAGGTGTCGGTTGGCTGAACTCAAGCCCGACCGTCTTGACGAAGTTCTTCTTTTTTTTTTCCTACCTATTTATAGCCTTGAGAAGCTATTTCGACTTCGCATTCACGTGTAGGTAAGCTCACGGGGCTCAAAACGGGAGGGTTGCTAACACTGGCCCTAGCAAGAGCAGTGCTTCGCTGAATCTACCACCGGATAGGAAACGAGAAGATCCGGCGAGAAACTCAGTGGGCTGTGTCCATGGGTTAATTTACTCGTCGAGCCCTTCTTCGGCGAAGACTGCGACTGGAGACGAAGCTCGAAATCCCTCCGGGCCACCAGCAGTTTTCCGTCATAATTTTTAAATCTAGATACCCTCATATTTATAAAATTCGCAGATTCGTCAGAAGATGGTCGAGTGCGCCACGCATTTGGCGCGGCACGTCGGCTACGAGAACGCCGGCACAGTCGAGTTCCTGCTCGACGACAAAGGGAACTTCTACTTCATCGAGGTCAACGCCAGGTGAGCGGTTCAAACACTGACTGCTGCACGTCACTATACGACATGTCAGATAACGTTGGCTCTGCTCAACAAAAATAGTTGTTATACGCATACGTTTATAGTTTATTTTGTCTTTACAGTCTCCACTTGAACTAGACTAGTTTTAGGAGAATCGACGAAGGACCGTGCTCGACAATCAAATGAAAGCTAGCCTAAATTCTTTATCTTCCTCGACATGGAAACGTAATAATGTGACAAACTTCTAGATGTCTTTCTTCCATATGTAAATATAATATCACAATTTTTCACAATTTCATTATATTATATTCATCTGAAATTAAAATTTTCAGATTGCAAGTGGAGCATACCATAACAGAAGAAGTCACAGGTATCGACCTAGTACAGTCACAGATACGTATCGCCGAGGGGATGACCCTGCCCGAACTAGGGTTGACGCAGGATAAAATACAAGCACAGGGATACGCGATACAATGTCGTGTTACTACCGAAGATCCCGCCAATAACTTCCAGCCCAGTACGGGCAGAATCGAGGTGTTCAGGTAAGGGATTCATTTATCAAATATATGTGCTCAGTGGGAATTTTTTAGCTTCATTTCGTTTGCCGCTAGGGGCGCTATTCCAACTCCATACAAATTTGAGTTAACTTTTACGCGATCGAGAAGTTAAAAAACCCTCGCTGAGCGCACTGATATTAAGTGTATATACATAAGCTATAACTTAAATTGTATGTTAGTCATCTTTACCCTTCTTGGTACTTTATTTTCTATTTACATAAAGACTTGAACGCCAATAACGAAATCTTCAAAGAAATTTACGTCACGTCACGCCGAAGTTCAATCACAGCGCGTGACGTCATACGTGGCTAGTCACTTCGTTGTAGTGGGTGAACTATAAACTTTACGCCTCGACTTTTCAAATTTATATTTTTCAGATCCGGTGAAGGGATGGGAATCCGTCTCGACTCAGCCTCCACGTACGCCGGCGCCGTCATCTCGCCGTACTACGACTCTTTACTTGTCAAAGTAAGCAAAATATTCATTAAGAAATCAAGAAACACCCTTAGTGCATAGATACGGGACAAACGTTCCTTTTATACATCTGTATAAATAAATAAAATTGAAATGTCTGTTTGTCCCGTAAAATAACCGCATTTTACTACATGCATATGAATGTATGGTACATGCAATATCAAAATAACATTTTTTACAATTTTCGTCTGCGTGTCTGTTTGTTTGTTCCCGGCTAATCTCTGAAACGGCTCGACCGATTTTGACGAGATTTTCCCTGGCCGATAGCTGATGCCATAAGGAATAACTTATATTTTGTTAAATTCCACACGGACGAAGACGCGGCTACAGCTTGATAGATATATAATTATGAGTATGTTTATAGGTGATCTCTCACGCTCACGACCTACCCTCGTCGGCGGCCAAAATGAACAGAGCCCTCCGCGAGTTCCGCATCCGAGGAGTCAAGACCAACATCCCCTTCTTACTCAACGTGCTCGAGAACCAGAAATTCCTAAACGGTAAGTCCAGCTGCTATCAGATTATCTTTTCTTATTCGTCATGACATTGCCAATGACACGTCACAGTCCTCACCAGGGTCCGAGGAGGTCAGTGACATTGCGTGGGGTGCGCCGGGCGGTCTGACATTTCGTCTCGTCAAATGATGATTTTAAAAGTGAGGAGTAGGTATATTGCAGCAGAAGTAGAACTTCTCACTTTTAATTCTATATATTAATACGTGAAGCAAAAACTTTGTACCCTTTTTGCATTGAAAATTCATTTTCATTTCATGCATTTCATTTTGCAATGAAAATTGCGCGGTAGGAGAATAATGCAATTTCCCACACTTATAGAGAATATCGAGAAGGAGTGCACAAGCCTAATTGTTTTTTTAAGTTATGCATATAAAATACATTAAATCAATAAAAAAAACATTACACACACTACCATGTATGTGACACACACACGCATACTTAAATACTATTTGGTTTATTGTTAAAGTCTGTGGTCAAAGTGAGAATAGATTAATATTGTCTTGTCTTTAAAATTATTTGTATATGGTGTAGTTTTGGCGAATTCTGTGATTATAGAACAATTATTATTATAAAAATATGACAATAGAACCATAATGATGTTCAAACTTATAATTTAAATTAATTATGGTCGAGTTTCGATCATTGGGCGACCGCTATACTCTATTCCAATTACGAAGTCCCTTTTCACACTTCATAGAACGTTACTCATCACGTTTCGCGTAATTTGAAATAATAATCATTTTTTGTTCATGGTCGTGAACATCATTTAAAATATACACAATCTAAATCATTATACAATTAATTCACACACACATTAACACAATAATAACATCTTTGCTTATAAATGAGCGACAAGACATATCAGTATATTTGAAATATATTAGAGACAAATACAGAAGTGTTTTCTAACGATATTGTCGACATTTTCAAAGTTGAAAACTATGGTCGCGTTTGTGTGTATTTTTTCTTCCCCTTATCCGATAAGGCCTCCAATTTAACTATCATTTCATAATTCGAAAATGGTTCTTCAACTGCTCATAATAAGTCGTTCTGGCCTAAAGGATAAGACGTCCGGTGCATTCGTATGTAGCGATGCACCGGTGTTCGAATCCCGCAGGCGGGTACCAATTTTTCTAATGAAATACGTACTTAACAAATGTTCACGATTGACTTCCACGGTGAAGGAATAACATTGTGTAATAAAAATCAAACCCGCAAAATTATAATTTGCGTAATCACTGGTGGTAGGACCTCTTGGGAGTCCGCACGGGTAGGTACCACCACCCCGCCTATTTCTGCCGTGAAGCAGTAATGCGTTTCGGTTCGAAAGGTGGGCAGCCGTTGTAACTATACTGAGATCTTAGAACTTATATCTCGAGGTGGGTGGCGCATTTACGTTGTAGATGTCTATGGGCTCCAGTAACCACTTAACACCAGGTGGGCTGTGAGCTCGTCCATCCATCTAAGCAATAAAAAAAAATCATAATAAGTACCAAAACATCGATCTTTTTTCGACTTCTTAATTATTATTTTTTAACCATAAATTTAATTGAATTTTCAGGTTCGGTCGACACGTACTTCATAGACGAAAATCCGCAACTGTTCATGTTTAAAGCCTCACAGAACAGAGCGCAGAAGATCCTCAACTATCTCGGCTATGTGCTGGTCAACGGGCCGGCCACTCCTCTTGCCACCAAAATACCCCCATCTGACGTCAAGCCCTACATACCTCAAGTGCCGCTGGGTAAGGAATTTACAGTCTCTCACTCCGCCCAACTAAGTAAAACCTTCGAGACTTTTTGGCGGGAACCCGATGAATGGAGTTGTGTGATTTGTTTTATTTCGTCTATTTAGTGTTTCTTCAGATTTAAATATGTAATAACGGTGGTTTATTAACTGTTTAGTATCTGTGAAAGTACACAAATGTGGGAAAATGAAACAAAGCCGCTGAACGTAACTTCTCGGGATCCTCCAAAAAGTCCACTGAAAAAGTCTCCGTAAATGACCATCATTTTACTGAGATTATATTTCATACCATATCATTTCATTTCACTTCCTATTATCATTTTTCATAAAAATAAGATTATAAATTAAAATAAGACTTGACCTAAAGGTCTTAGTTACCAGGTCATAAAATCACTTTAAAAAAAGTAAAACCTTCGGCAATACACATCTCTAGAGCAAGGATGAGCAACACGCGGCCGACAAGCTTTTCTAAAATTAAAATTATTTTATCGACTTTCTCGTTTCGGTTCGTTTTTGGAACGAAGTTCCTTACGGCAGGCTTGGAGGGGATAGGGATTTTGCTGCGCGACCGAACTGAAAAAATGTGATAGTAAAACCGTAAGAAAAAATCCGTGGAAAAAAGTGCGTGGAATAAAACCGTTAAATGAGACGTGCGCAGGCGCGACAGTCGCATACACAAGCGAGTAGTGTATAATACCTTTCTCTTCCTCCCTCTTTCTTTTACTTTTACATATTTTCCTGCACTTAAATAAAAACTAATCAGCAAAATTTTGAGAAAAATCAAGAAAACCTACATAAAATTGAGCACGTTTTTTTTTTGCAAATTGTGTCGATTCTACATTAGCCGAAGGAACTTCGTTCCTACCTGGTGTCCCATGACACCACATCTTTCATTTTTTTCTGTTCATTTTTTTTATCTGGCATTAAAATTTGTATATGAAATCTTTACTTTTTTTTGTTTTTTTTTTATTGTAAAATTTGGTAAATTATTTAAATTGGCCCATTGATAAAAAATGTTGCTGACCCCTTGTCTAGAGTTTATACTCGATACATTCTGACTTTGGAGGAATCTGTGCCGCTCTTAAAACTCCTTATAACATTTGTTCGCTGGTCATTTGACTTGAAATCGTGCACAACGAAAGTGTACAATTATGATTAGGTTTATACGATACGAGAAAAGTAACGACATTGCGTTCGGTATGTTTCTATATACGACGTAGCGCGTGGTGCGTTTTCCGAACATAACATCATTGATAGTAATAAAATATTCCACCTTCAATGGCACTTAGCCAACTCTGTCATGAGTGCTAGTACTCACATATAAGCTAAGAAAAAGTACTTTAAAAATTCGAATACCTAATGCTTACAAAAGAAATAGATTCTTGATACAATAGTCGGTTTCGTTAATGAATAAGAACTAATAATGAAAAAAAGCCCACAAACCGTGGATTTGGCATAAATATAGGCGAAATTTAAGGTTTTTTTTATTGCTTAGATGTTTGGACGAGCTCACAGCCCACCTGGTGTTAAGTGGTTACTGGAGCCCATAGACATCTACAACGCAAATGCGCCACCCACCTTGAGATATAAGTTCTAAGATCTCAGTATAGTTACAACGGCTGCCCCACCCTTCAAACCGAAACGCATTACTGCTTCACGGCAGAAAGAAACAGGCAGGGCGGTGGTACCTACCCGTGCGGACTCACAAGAGGTCCTACCAACAGTATAATTATTATGTTTTATAATTATACATATTACTTACGTTAAAGCTAATATGTAAACAAAAAGCTGGCCAATTATTTTTTACGGGAAAATAATATGATCTCGTAATGATGTCAATCGCTTTATATGAAGTGTACCAAATAACATGTTAGGCATACTAAGAATAATAAAACTAAAAACAACGAATTATTTGATAGAAATTTTAACACATTTTCATATTCAAGAGACTCATTTATTAGTTCATAGCTTAAAACTTAAAGTGAAACTTCTTTTGCGGTGTGTAGTATTGTGGTTTTCTTAATTTTTCATCAATAAATCAAATTTCTCTTGTAATAAGCAACGCTGTCCGTGTATAAGATAATCAACCTAGCTCGTATTGTTCTTCCTTCTCTCCACGGTCGAGTAGTGCGCGAGACGCTTTATCTATTTTCTCACTCTCGCTCTTCCTAAATTGTATCTTTTCTCTTTAGCTGTCGCGAATTAAATTTTACTCTCAACGCGCCTAAAGAAGTTTCACTTCGAAAAATATATATATATACAAAGCCTAAATTCAAAATTTGTTAATTAAAATTCGTTTTGAATTTTTTCTCTTACAGTACGCTTTGGCTCTGGTAGGTTAAATTTTTATAAATAAATATTTTTTGTTGCCAATTTTATAAATTAATTTACTACCACTGGCTTGGGCTTCTTATTGTTTTTGTGACACACTTATTATTATTATTACATACGTCGATTGGTATTATATCCTCTAGTATTGACAGGTCGAATTGAAAAACGTCACTCTGGTCTTCCTAAAGTCAATGCCAATGTTAAAAACAAAAAGTCTAGCAGCACTCATACCACAACGCATAAATCTGGTAATAACATTTTTTTAAACTTTAAGTAGGTAGTTAAAATGGATTTCATAGATAAATTATTTAGGCAGTACTTCGTATCATTTTTTGCATAGAAATACTGCAGTTTAGAGAAAAAAAAAAGCGTTTTCTTAATTATAATTTGATTTGATTACCGTACTTGTAATGAGTAAACAGTAGCAACACTGTCTTATGTTGCAACCATGGAAATTGCTTCACTAATTATTTAAATCATTCACTTATTAATCGGTTGGTTCGTTAGTTATTTATTTATATGTATTTAAAAATGCGTGGTGGAAACGTTCCTGAAAACTTAGACATGTTAATCGGTAATACTAGACACGACATTTTATAAATCGCGATCGAAAAGTCATACATAGATCACTTATTTACATTCCACTGCTCGCAGTGTAAGAGCAATTAACGGACGCTTAAGGTCAACGTTCTCTCGAGCTGCCTTTGCTGTACATTGCTCATTCGCGATACTTGTACCGCTAATGCGAAAAGTTTTATTGAAAATAAATATTATTGCTTGTTTATCGTTTCTCGAGGGTAGTCTTACGTCATGTCCGTGTCTGCTTCAGGAACGATTCTTTAACACCCTTTAAGATTCCCGACATGAGAGGCAAAAGGTCGAATCTATTTATTCAATTCAATTATTCAATGGTATTTATGACTTTAATTATGCTTTTTTTTCTTTTAAAAAAAACTGGGATTTCTAGAATTTTTAGTATAATTAAAGAAAAATCGTAAAGGCATTTTTCAATATAAGATTTTAGGCAAAAAAGTATAAAAAAAAAAAAAACTTAGCATCGTGCATTACCATTTAAATTATATTAAAAAAGGCTCATCAGTTCAAAAATGAAAATAAAAATTAGATCCGAAAAGAAACGTGGTAAAAAGTCATCGAAATCGTACACGTCCGACATTATGCCTCCCTTGTCGAGAACCGTTATTTCATTCTGACCGCTTCCATTGCAGGATTTTTATTTATTTACTTTAATTAATTAGTTCAGATATGTAATTGGCACCTCATTCGCTCACGTTTGCACTGTATTTATTTTACTAAAACCATATTTTTCAGACCTTTCCCCAGAGGCTATTAAAAGACAGGAATTAACCGGAGAAAACACAGGTATTTACTTATTTTCACCTATTATAATATACCTACATTTACCTAAATACACTATTTAGTGAAAATGCACAACTTTTATAATTTCTAATAAATTATTTTTGTAATTGATTATCATTTCAACATAACTTCAGATTTTCGTTCAAAAACTCAATCTGAACAAAAGTATAAAGTTTAATTTCGAACGATATTTTTTAAAACACGTTTTTTTTTATTGTATACATGGGTGGACGAGCTCAGCCCACCTGATGTTAAGTGGTTACTTGAGCCCGTAGACATCTACAATGTAAATGCGCCACACACCTTAAGATATAAGTTCTCAGGTCTCAAGTATAGTTAGAACAACTGCCCCACCCTTCAAACCGAAACGCATTACTGCTTCACGGCAGAAATAGACAGGGTGGCGGTACCCACCCGTGCGGACTCACAAGAGGTCCTACCACCAGTAATTACGCAAATTATAATTTTGCGGGTTTCATTTTTATTACACGATGTTATTCCTTCACCATGGAAATCAATCGTGCACATTCGAGTACGTATTTCATTAGAAAAATTGGTACCCGCCTGAGATTCGAACACCGGTGCATCGCTCAACACGAATGCAACGGACGTCTTATCCGTTAGGCCACGACGACTTCAAGGAGTCATATTCGACGATATGAGTTCAAAGGTCTCAGTAAAGTTCTAGTTAATTGCAACGGCAATTCGTTCCGCAGCCGTCCAACCGCCGAAGGGCTACAAACAAATACTCGACGAGGGTGGCCCCGAGGCCTTCGCCAAAGCGGTTCGGCAGCACAAGGGTCTGCTCCTGATGGACACGACGTTCCGGGACGCGCACCAGTCGCTGCTGGCCACCAGGGTGCGGACCCACGACCTGCTCGCCGTCTCGCCCTACGTAGCGCACAACTTCAACAACCTGTACTCGCTCGAGAACTGGGGAGGAGCTACATTCGACGTGGCCTTGAGGTAACACTTACCTTTCGTAACAATCAATGTAATCTTTTTTTTATGGGATTTTATGACCTGGTAACTAAGACCTTTGAGTAATGTCTTATTTTAATTTTTATTCTTATTTTTATGAACAATGATGATTAATTTGAGAGACATTAATCAACTGGGATGAAATTAAATGAAATGAGATGAGATGATATAGGATGAAATATAATCTCAGTAAAATGGTGGTCATTTACTGAGATTTTTCAGTGGACTTTTTGGAGGATCCCGAGAAGTTACGTCCAGCGGCTTTGTTTCATTTTCACACATTTGTGCACTTTCACAGATATTAAAAAGTTAATAAACCACCGTTATTACAAATTTAAACCTGAATAAAGACTAAATAGACAAAATAAAACAAATCATACAACTTCACTTCTCGCGTTTCCGCCAAAAAGTCAATCAATGTAAAAATATATATGTATAGACTATATCGACGCAGTCAGAGGAAGTGTGAAAGTAGCCCCGGTGATCAACAAATTAAGGAGCGGACGGTTAGCGTGGTATGGACATGTGATGCATAGAGAGAAGATGCATGTGACTAGGAGGAAAGATTTGTTGGTTTGTTTGTATTGAATAGGCTCCGAAACTACTGAACCGATTTAAAAAATTTTTTCACTGTTGGAGAGCTACGCTATCCCCTTGTGACATATGCTATATTTATTATATTTTCAGAAAAATTAGGGATCCTTACTGAAACTCCAATAATGTAGTCCAATATGTAAAAAAAATACCTAAAATTCTTTACATCGCGAGCGCTACTTCTCAAGCGAAGCGGGGGCGGGCCGCTAGTGATTAATAAAAAAAACGAATTGTATTGTATTTTGTATACGTTGTTCGCAGATTCCTCCACGAGTGTCCGTGGGAGCGTCTCCACGACATGAGGCAGTTGATCCCGAACATTCCGTTCCAGATGTTGCTCCGCGGCGCGAACGCGGTCGGCTACACCAACTATCCCGACAACGTCGTCTTCAAGTTCTGCGACATGGCCGTGAGTGTGAAGCGTACCTTATTACTATTAATATAATAACTTTAGTCGTAAAACAAAACTGGTGCGCGTGCGACTTGGTGCACGTGAAAGAAGTGAAACTTCTATGAAAGAAGTGAAACTTCAACGTACCTCGAGAAATAACATTGACTTAGAATGAAACTTGCCAGTATTCGATGATTACCGAACGTGTCCTTAGGTTTTACTTAATAATATTTTTAGTGATAATTTAAAACATTACTTTAATACCGCTCTCTGTAAATATTTTAGAAACTAAGCTGTTGACACCTTTGGCCTTGCAATCTAGTAGTTTATATGAAATCCAATAGATCTCGCTAAACTAAATAACAAACTAGCTCGCTTTGTCCTTACCTTTTCTCCACGGTCGAGTGGTTCGCGAGACACTGTCTTTCTAAATTGTATCTTTTCTCTCTAACCGTAACGACTCTGTCGCGTGTTAAATTTTACTTTCAATGCGTCTAAAGGAATTTCACTTCAAAAAAACGAAGGTTGCCGGGAGTCCTTCAATATGTTGCAAAGTATTTCACATTGTCATTGAAATATCTTTTTTATAATTCTTTAGTTCTATTAATAGTCCGCCGGCTGCCTTCGCGTGGCGTTGCAGACTCATGAAATGTTGACTTCCAAAACGATTAGTAATTGTGTTCTAATAAAATATGAATAATTAGCACATTCAGCGGTGTGTGTTTTTTTTTATTTTTTTATTGCTTAGATGGGTCGACGACCTCATCGCCCACCTGGTTCAAAGTAACCCAAGTGGTTACTGGAGCCCATAGACATCTACAACGTAAATGCGCCACCCACCTTGAGATATAAATTTTAAGGTCTCAAGTATAGTTACAACGGCTGCCCCGCCCTTCAAACCGAAACGCATTACTGCTTCATGGCAGAAATAGGCAGGGTGATGGTACCTACTCGCGCGGACTCACAAGAGGTCCTACCACCAGTAAAAGACGAGATGTGATGAGACGAAATAAAAATGAGGTTGGTAAGAGAGTGTTAACTATAAATGTGGAAGAATATAGAGGTAGAAGTAGACCTAATAAGAAATGAGACCTTAGAACTTATATCTCAAGGTGTGTGGCGCATTTACATTGTAGATGTCTATGGGTTCCAGTAACCACTTAACACCAGGTGGGCTGTCAGGTCGTCCACACATCTAGGCAAAAAAAAAAGTCCATATCATCCCAAACCTACACTTCTCAACTTCTCTGCCTTCTTCTCTTCTCTCTCACAAGTGCCACGTTCAGACTTCCTCTAACATATTCATTTCGTATTCTATCCAATTCTCGTTACTCCACACATCCCTCGCAACATTCGCATCTCTGCTGCATGCGATCGCCTTTCATTCATCCTTCACGAATGACCCCACCTAGTGGGATAAGGTGAAGGAAAAAAAGAAGTTAAAAGTTTTTTGTAAATGTTTATCCTCAGGTCCAAGCAGGAATGGACATCTTCCGAGTTTTCGATTCGCTGAACTATTTACCGAACTTGGTACTGGGCATGGAGGCGGCCGCGAAGGCAGGCGGAGTCGTCGAGGCCGCCATCTCGTACACGGGCGACGTTTCGGACCCCAGCAAAACTAAATACGACCTGAAGTATTACACGAAGCTGGCCGACGATCTGGTGAAGGCCGGAACTCACGTGCTCGCTATCAAAGACATGGCCGGACTGCTGAAGCCCCAGGCTGCGAAGTGAGTGTCATACATTATACAGTGTGCTTAGTATGAGTTTTTTAACGTTCTCGATAGCGTAAAAGTTAGCTCATAATTGTATGGAATGGGATCGTTTACGTACGTTTGCCGCTAGGGGCGCTGTTGCAACTGCTTATAAAATTGGATTAACTTTTACGCTATCGAGAACGTTAAGAAATCTGCACTAAGCACACTGTCTCTTCGGTTTGAGCGAGCCGTAAACATAATTAAAACCACTTTTACCGTTTAATCTCGCGTTTTTTATTGTAGCTAAATTTTTTCCAATTCAATCCAAAATTTCGAATACACCACTTTAAATTACATTAATTTTGTTTTTCAGCTATAATCTGCTTTCAAAAAAAAAAAAATATTTCTGACGTTTCATGTCACACAGAACGACCTTAAGTTTGTAGTCTGGCAATTCGTTTGTCTAAGTAATATAATAGCAATAGCAAACGCGTAATTTTATTAAGCTGTAAAAGCAGTTTTAAATTATGAGTAAAACATGCTATCTTGTATTGGCATTAGCAGTTTCAATTACTGCGTGAATTCTTTAATTTGTTTTTTCATACATCATACATACATGTTTTTAATTTGTTTTGTCATTTCCAACATATATCAATACGGGCATGCATTAAGTTAATAATTCTTCTTTCTTTCTGGTCGTTCCCTCAATGCTGAGGATCGTGATTGTATGTCAATCTTCTCCACTCGGTCCGGTTCTGCGCTATGTGTACCGCTCCCCGTATCTGGTCTCCAGTCACCTCCTTGAGTTGGTCCACCCATCTAGCTGACGCTCTTCCTCTAGCGCGCTTTCCCTCCATTTGTCCGAAAATGATGAGTTTCTCCAAGCTGTGCAATGGGGATCGCATTATGTGCCCAAAGAAACTCCGGATCCTTTCCTGACATGTAGTCAGCAAGCGCTTGTTGACCTTCAGTTAATCACTACATAGTTATAAAACAAAGTCGCTTTCTCTGTCCCTATATCCCTATGTATGCTTAAATCTTTAAAACTACGCAACGGATTTTGATGCGGTTTTTTTTTAATAGATAGAGTAATTGAAGAGGAAGGTTTATATGTATAATAACGTCCATTAAAAAGTGGAGGAATCAATAATAAATTACAGTTTCCGAAGCGAATCGAGGGCGGGTCGCTAGTAATATATAAAAGAAAAGGTTTTTAATTATAATTACGTAAAACATCCGCGTTGCACTCAGGTTGCTGATAGGCGCCATCCGCGCGGCGCACCCGCACGTCCCGCTGCACGTGCACACGCACGACACGAGCGGCGCGGGCGTGGCCGCCATGCTGGCGTGCGCGGAGGCGGGCGCGGACGTGGTGGACGTCGCCGTGGACTCCGTGTCCGGACTCACCTCGCAGCCCAGCATGGGCGCACTGGTGGCTTCCTTGCAGGGCACCCCCTTGGACACCAGTCAGTAATCATTTCGAATTTACCACTCTGACTAAATAAGGCTGTAGTGTGAGCCCACGTTGATAAGTGTTACCGTGCTGCGTAATTCTGGCGCGAAGTTGTAGTTTCCTTTCGGGCGACAGTTTTCGCGTTTCCCCGTCGCCTGGGTCGGTACAACATCGCGTCTGACCCAGCGAGGTTAGTGTAAGCCACTTCACATACCTCGAGGTCATTTAACGCTAGCAAAAGCATTATGAGACATATATTGAAAGTACATTTTTTTTTATACATTTTATTGCTTAGACGGGTGCACTAGCTCACGGCCCACCTGGTGTTGAGTGGTTACCGAAGCCCATAGATATTAAAACGTAATGCCGAAACGTAACGACAACGTAAATGCCGCCACCCACCTTGAGACATGAGTTTTAAGGTCTCACATGTAACAGTACAACGGCTGCCCCGCTCTTCGAACCGAAACGCATTACTGCTTCACGGCAGAAATAGGCAGGGTAGTGGTACCTACCCGCGCGGACTCAGACGTCCTACCACCATCATGTTAAGAGTGTAGCTAAAACGTTTTAATTTGTACAATGAAGATGAAACAATAATGAATTGTTTCCTCCACGCAGAGATACCGCTACAAAAGGTGTCAGAGTACTCGGCCTATTGGGAGCAAGCTCGTACCCTATACGGACCCTTCGAATGTACGGCCACAATGAAGTCTGGCAACGCTGATGTGTACCTCAATGAGATCCCCGGAGGACAGTACACCAATCTACAATTCCAAGCGTTCTCCTTAGGACTGGGAAGCCAGTTCGAAGAGGTCAAGAAAGCTTACAGGTACTTTGAATTTTAGACACGTAAAGAAATGTTTTTTTTTAATACGCTTTTATTAGCTTCTGACGTATGTATCTATGTTTGTAACGGAATCTTTGAACATGATTTTGACCCCCTTCAAAACGTCGGATTAACTCGAAATTTGGTATACTTATTAAGGACCGGTGACAATTCAATATTTAAAAAATAAATAAAAAAGAAATCCAACAAAAAAATAGAAAATAAATTTTAATTAATTTAAATTAAAAATAGTCTAAGAAAAAATTATTTTATTGTAAAAAAGCGTGTGGTGATTTTCTTTAAAAGCGTATTTTGTTATTTTTTTTAAACTATTATTTATTATTTATTGCTTACATGGGTGGAAGAGCTCACAGCCCACCTAGTGTTAATTGGTTACCGGAGCCAATAGACATCTACAACGTAAATGTGCCCCCACCTTGAGATATAAGTTCTAAGGTCTCAAGTATAGTTACAACGGCTGTCCCACCTTTCAAACCGAAACGCATTACTGCTTCACGGCAGAAATAGGCAGGGTGGTGGTACCTACCCGTGCGGACTCACAAGAGGTTCTACCACCATCTGACGTCCCCCTTTGAAAAATGGAATTGAATAATCAATCGACTTTCCATCTCTTTTGATTCGTCTTTCAGGGAAGCAAACCTCCTCTTGGGTGATATAATCAAAGTTACTCCATCGTCGAAGGTCGTGGGAGATCTTGCACAGTTCATGGTACAGAATAAGCTGACGGCTGCCGATATCAACGCTAGAGCTGAGGAGCTCTCCTTCCCGAAGTCGGTGGTGGAGTACCTGCAGGGAGCTATCGGGATACCGTATGGAGGATTCCCTGAACCATTGAGGTATCCAACCATTTATCTATATTAAAGTTCACTTTTTTTATTTATCGCTTAGATGATGTCGTACGTTCCATGGGGAGTGCTCTGAGGAATTGTTTGAGATGATCCCCTCATCTTCTTTTTATCATCGGAGCAGAGTTCATCCATATTATCTGGAACCGCTGCGGTCATCCACAGTGCGTTTCCAGAGGTCTTTTTTGCCACGTACCATCCGGCTATGGAATGAGCTCCCCTCCACGGTGTTTCCCGAGCGCTATGACATGTCCTTCTTCAAACGAGGCTTGTGGAGAGTATTAAGCGGTAGGCAGCGGCTTGGCTCTGCCCCTGGCATTGCTGAAGTCCATGGGCGACGGTAGCCACTCACCATCAGGTGGGCCGTATGCTAGTATGCCTACAAGGGCAATAAAAAAAAATTGAGTGGACTAGCTCACAGCCCACCTGGTGTTAAGTGGTTACTAAAGCTTATAGATATCTACAACGTAAATGCGCCATCCACCTTGAGATATGAGTTCTAAGGTCTCAGTGTAGTTGAGGTTAAGGTCTCAGCACATTTTTGTATAATCCACTGTGGTTAATATCCAAATTAAGACACAAATTATATATGGTGCCTATTTATAATTCCATATTATTATCTTTATAATTCCATATTATTATTTTTATAATTCCATATTATTATTTTTAGGTCGAAAGTTCTGAAAGACATGCCGAGAATCGAAGGACGTCCCGGAAAAGAGTTGCCTTCTCTGAACTTCGATAAACTAAAGGGTGAACTGAAAGAATCTTTCCCAGACGTAAGTCGAATATGTTTCAACTCAAAATTGATTTATAATTTTATATATTTACTGGAAATGATATGTAACCATAGTAATAACGAATCGGAAAGTTTAATAGATTATAAAATCTTGGCTCTATACAACTATATAGGTACATTACGTGTGACGTCATTCTGAACCAAATAAGCGACGAAGTAAATTAATGTATTAAATACAATAATTAAAATCTTATTTTCTCATATTTTATACAGCGCGCTGTGGTTCTTGTTTAAAAAAAGCTATATGGGCATTAAATATATTCTCAAAAGAAAAACTACTTAGATTATGTATTATTGAGATATTTTAGTTTGCTTCCGCAGTGTGTTTACGTTTTTATATCGCTAAGGGAATGAAAGTTTCTTGAAAACGAATAAAAAAATTATCAAGAAACTAGGTTTGATAGGCATCTAACGACGAAGGCATAAAAATATATAATTATATACATCACAACAAGTTGTTAAAAAACACGCATGCGTCAACGGATTGTAGCATGGGTAGTTATTTACTAAAATATTTCATATAATAAAATTTAACTGGGGAGAAAGTGGCCGTTTTGTCCCCTTTTAAAAATAAGGTAAATAAACGAACTCGTTATATAGGTACTCAAATATTAGTTTAAATATAAAATAATAGTAAGTTTTAGCTTTCGCTATTCAACAAACGTAAGTGGTTTATTATATTATAGCAAAATTTCTAAATATGTATATTCAAAAGCATTTAACACAAAATATTTTTCTTTTTTCCTACCTAAACTGATCGTCTTGAGAGACCATTTCAGCATAACCTTAAGTAGTAGGTGAGCTCACGGGGCTCAAATCTGATGACGATGCTAACACGAACCCTAGCAGTGCTTCGCAAAATCTACTACTGGATAGGAAACGCGACCCACTGAGAAGATCCGACGAGAAACTCAGTGGGCTTTGTCTGTGGGTTAATTTACTCGTCGAGCCCTTCGTCGCAAGCGACGGGTTCGACGAGAACGATGACCGGTGCTTGAGGTACCTAAAAGCACTGTTAGTAGATCGGGAGGATCCGTAATGACGTTGATACAAGTGACGGTTTTATCATTACAGATAAACGACGAGGACGTGATGTCGGCGGCCATGTACCCGCAGGTCGCGAGCGACTTCTTCCGTTTCCGGGACAAGTACGGGCCTGTCAAACATCTGGACACCAAGACCTTCCTGGTCGGCCCCGCGGTGAGTACGCGCCCACCCCCACATTTTTCTTTTTGACGTTATACTTCTTTAGGCGCGTTATGAAAAAATTATGAGAGTGAAATTTTACGATGCGCGCGCACCGTGACACAAAATTAACAGAATGAAGTTGCCCACTAAATCGCTCATTACAATACGACCGACGTAACTTGACGAGTCTGAATATAGCCGCAGGTGAACTTTCGCTTATGTACACTCGTAAAAAAAGTGTTATTAGCATTCATTTTTTAGTGATATCAATGACAAAATTATTATTTAATATAATTCATACTAAATATTATTAAATTATTAACGTTAAATATTTTCTTTCTAATTATTAAATATTAAAAAAAAAGAAGTATAGCTGCTTACGCGCGTACATAAGTACACGCATCCTTTTTATATATTTTATTTTTTACGAATATAAATTATTGAACAGGTCGGCGACACCATAGAGGTTAAGATAGAGCGCGGCAAGACCCTGGACATCAGGACGGTGGCGGTGTCGGAGGACATGACGACCGCCGGCGAGCGCGAGGTCTTCTTCGAGCTCAACGGGCAGCTGCGGTCAGTCTTCATCAGAGACGAGAACGCCAGCAAGGTTGGTCTCTATGTTTATATGCGCAGATTGCAAAATTGTTTGGTGGTGGTAGGACCTCCTGTGAGTCCGCGCGGGGGTAGGTGTGGTACCTACCCGACCTTTGAACTCATATGGTCGAATATGACTCCTTAAGGTCGTCGTGGCCTAACGGATAAGACGTCCGTTGCATTCGTGTTAAGCGATACACCGGTGTTCGAATCTCAGGCGGGTACCAATTTTTCTAATGAAACACGTAGTCAACAAATGTTCACGATTGATTTCCACGGTGAAGGAATAACATCGTGTAATAAAAATCAAACCCGCAAAATTATAATTTACGTAATTAGTGGTGGTAGGACCTCTTGTTAGTCTGCGCGGGTAGGTACCACCTATTTTTGCCGTGAAGCAGTAATGCGTTTCGGTTTGAAGGGTGGGGCAGCCGTTGTAACTATACTTGAGACCTTAGAACTGATATCTCAAGGTGGGTGGCGCATTTACGTCGTAGATGTCTACGGGCTCCAGTAACCACTTAACACCAGTTGGGCTGTGAGCTTGTCCAAACATCTAAGCAATAAATATATTATCGCTATGGAGAAGCCACAGTTATTAACACCCTCGTCAGACACCGTAGGGGCGAATAAGGTGATCGAGCTAAGAGCAATATTGAGTACACCAATCACGTTTGTTGTCTTGGAACAATTTGGAAATCTTCTCTTGACGTTAGCAAATGAAAACGAATGACAGTTCTTAGGACGGAGGCACCGATCTTCAAGAAGGCTGGTTGGTAAGTGTGATGGCGTCAGGCTCTGTCGTGGTTAGCCGGGTTCAGATACCACAATCGTGCCGCGTTTCGTTTAGCTACCAAATGAATGACCGTCTCCGACATGTATATGTATATAAAGATTTTACAGACAAACCAGCAACGCACTCCGACTTCGTATCAACATGTTTTATATTATTTGTATTTTTCTTCATAGACTCTTTTTTTAAAACTCTAATATTGAAATTCATTTTTAATCGACCTGTAAGTATATATATGGATGTACACAATAATGTGAGCAATAAATTAACTTTTAGGAAATGAAGATCCACCCGAAGGCGGTGAAAGGCGATAAGAATCAAGTGGGTGCCCCGATGCCCGGAACCGTTCTCAGTGAGTAAAACGTATTATTAAAGACTAGCCGTACTCGCCCGCTTCGCTGTGCATTAAAAATTAACATTATTATTTATTGTCATTATTAGGGAGTCCAACACTCATAAATATTAGCCTATCCATTAAGTACATGTATTTTCTACATGGATACCAAGTTTCAAGTCAATCGGATGCACGGTTCAGTAGTTATAACGCAACATCCGTAGAAACCACTATAGATTTATATATTAGTATAGATATTACGAAAACTTTTTCAAAACGAAGTTCATGAAAAGCCCTAATGTGTAAAGACCTCCCTTAGCATTGCCGATGTCCATAAACCAAAGCGTTTAAATGATAAACATAAAATTACATGGCTTTTTCTTTTAATAAGTCCATTCTATTTTAATTTACAAAGATTTTATTAACATTGAAATTAGTAGATTCTGTGCACTCTTCCTTAATGTATTCACTGTCGATATCCTTTGTGCGTCCGATATTTCTCTCAAGTCGTTGGGTTCGTGAGTTTAAATGCGCTCGGACACCATTGACAGATGTTTGACAGTAGCTAACGTCAGTGTCAATTCCGCAGCTATCAAAGTGAAGGAAGGCGACAAAGTCGAGAAGGGGCAGCCGATAGCCGTGCTCTCCGCTATGAAAATGGAAATGATCGTTCAAGCCCCCAAGGCTGGTACCGTCAAGACCGTCTCGATTACAAACGGACAAAAACTAGAAGGCGACGATTTGATCTGCACTATCGAATAACAATAATAAAAAAAACAACAACAAAAACATCCGACGAGGTTAATGCTTTAAATTAAAAAACAAATATTGAAAAATTCCTCAAACGCCACGAAACTGTATCTCCAGTAATATTACCTCAACTACAATTTAAGAAATGAGTGGATTAAGGGCATATGATGCAATTAGGTAATTTTTATTATAAAAAATACAATTTAACAGTTTTTTTAATTTTTAAATAAACTACTACTAATTGAATAAGAACTGTCTGATGAACTCATCTTTGTTTAATACTTCACTATTAAAATGTATTGTCTTTTGTTTATTTCACTTTTACACTAAACACAATATTGCAAATTACCCGAGCACAACAATGGCGGAGAATTTTAGGTGCGTGAGAGCAGACGTAGACACTAACGCGCATGCGCACTTGTCAGTGCCCAGGGAGGAAAAGTTATACTTTCTTCCCTGTACAGCGGGACGAAAACCGAACTTTCGGCGTAGGTAGGAGAAAAAAGTCCCTTCATCCACTCATGTCTTGAATTGTACAAGTTCATTAGTTTAGAGCCAACGCTTAGTTATAGAGAATGTTTGATATTAAACATTCTGAATGAAAGGCATTGCGAGCATTCTCTAAGTTTGTTGAACTATTTGGTGAACGTATAATTTTCAAAAGTGTCTGAATACCAACGATGGACTACTCAGCGCTTTATTTGCGAGAATCCATCATCACGTTTTATGGCTGTTTTGTATAAAGACATCAGATGTTAACTTGTATTTATGTGCTTCGTTTTTATTTGTGCATATCGTCGCATAGAAGGATCTGGCAAAAGCGATCGTTTTTTTTTTTCATTTATATTTATACAAATACAAAATTACTAACTACTACTGTGGTGCTACTACTACTTACTGGTGGTAGAACCTCTTGTGAGTCCGAGCAGGTACGTACCACCGCCCTGCCTGTTTCTGCCGTGAAGCAATAATGCGTTTCAGTTTGAAGGGCGGGGCAGCTGTTGTAACTATACTAGAGACCTTAGAACTTATATCTCAAGGTGGATGGCGCATTTACGTTATAGATGTCTATGGGCTCCAGTAACCACTTAATACCAAGTGGGCTGTGAGCTCGTCCACCCATCTAAGCAATAAATAAAAAAATCGGTTTATCGAAAAATGTGGCATATCACGTTGATTGAAAGACGATTCACTGTTTACTTCTTTCCCGTGAACTGAGCGCAGCGCGATCGAGTCCTTTGCCAGGTTTCTGCTACACGCCGATAGATGCCGCTAGTTTTGCTAAAGCTGATGAAGGATAAATGGAATGTACTAATATTTGACATTATCCGTTAGGTACGTTGTTTTTATTATACCTTATTTAATTAATTTAATTGAATATTTGCAATAATGCTAAGATTATTTTGTCCAGAGCAAAACTAAAAATGTTGCTATACTGCACAGATACAATATATCGAGATTTGTGATGATCACTATACATATTATGATGGTGCAATATTTGTCATTTTAAATTCAAATTTTAAGTTAACGATACGTTATTGTTATACTTGTAAAGTTTATTTTATTAATATTATATAGATGTTAGTCATTCCATGAAATGTAACAGGGTTATGAGTAGAGTGGAGAAGTTTCTAGAGGTGTTTTTTTTTTTAAATAAATTTGACCAACCAATTAACTCTTTCATCGCTATGTTTTCTTTAATTCCATACCTTGTAGAGTTAATTCCGAGAATGTAATGTATTAAACCATTTTAGGGACTTCTCTACTATGGAGTGAGATGTATTCTCTTATTTTTATGTTGGTGCTCATTTGTTGATAAATCTTGTTATCCCTTTTGCATAATGTTTTTATTTTATTTAATAAAATTTTATTTAAATTTCTATTTGTTTTAATGACGATTCATAAGGAAAATTGCCATTGCGCAAAGGGATTTATTTAGTTCCTAATTTGATACCCAAATACTTTTTCTAGTCAATTGAAATATAATGTTAATTTCTCATACAATGTAAAACGTATATTATTATTTCTGAAGTAAAACAATATGTATTTTTTATTTATTTCAATAAAACACAAACAAGATTCATGGTAAGTGATGAATGTGTGAAATTTTTTATTATTTATACATTAAATTATATGAAGGCACCTGTCTCTGTCGCGAGGGTTAGTTTCTGATGAGTTTGCGACCAAGCTATAACATAGTGAGCGATTGGGCATTTTACGTTACGTATGAATGGCTAGTTATACTAGGCTTATACTAGTTAAATGTTTTGTATACTATAAAATTTGTGGAGGAATACGACAAAGGGAAGATCTTCCGCTGAGCGACGGTCCGAATGTTGTTGTTCGGAACTTCTATATATTTTTACTGGTTGTAGGACATCTTGAGTCCGCACGGTTAGGTACCACCACCCTGCCTATTTCTGCCGTGAAGCAGTGAAGCGTTTCGGTTTGAAGGGTGGGGCAGCCGTTGTAACTATACTTGAGACCTTAGAACTTATATCTCAAGGTGGGTGGCGCATTTACGTTGTAGATGTCTATGGGCTCCAGTAACCACTTAACATCAGGTGGGCTGTGAGCACGTCCACCCATCTAATCAAAAAAAAAAACTCAGTAGGCTGTGTCTGAGGATAAATTTACTCGTCGAACTCTTGAGGGCTCAAAGTTCAAGCAGCCGTTGTAGTGTAAAAACTAAAAAACTGTCTATGGACTCCAGTCCCCACTTAAACCGTGAGCTCGTCCACTCACGCTAGCAATAAAAATAAAAGTAATTTAGTTATGTACTTGTACATACTTTCAACAAATTTCATTGTAATTGGAAGACCAAAAAGAGAACGATATAAATCAGAGCATGATTTTTACATGCTAGAAAGAGACAGCTACAGTTCACAGAGTAACTCATGTCTCCCCTTCTTAACGCTTCATGTCGCATACGTCTCAAATAGTCGACCATCACTAAGAAAGAACACCAGTAGATTTTGAAAATACATTTAATTAAAGTAATAAACTCTCTTCTCAATCAAACATGATTATTCCAATATATTTCTTGTGGACATTCCGCAGCACATGGTTTTCTTAATGTTGTATTATTATACACTACTTTCGTTTGACAGTTACTTTTTATAAACTAGACACATGAATATCTTATATACTAAATAAATTCTATTATCCCTAACATTAAGTGGCAATACATACCAATGTCTTTATTAGAAAATATGATATTAGCCTTTAAATGGATATTACATCAAATTCTTGTGAAATGTGTCTTAACTTTAATTATAATATACATCAACTAGTCAAAATTAGGAGTCTAAGAGCGACTACAATTTATAATTTCATTATGTCATTCATTCGACGCTTGAAAGGCAAACGCGACTAAGCGACAATAACTGTTTTGTACATAAATGATAGGCAATAACCATATTCGATGCGCAAAAAATGTATATTTCTAGGTCTATTAAAATCATTTCAATCCTACAGCTATTAGCTAGATTCTATTACAGCTAGATTCGTTAAAATAAATTTTGTTTTCAGGTATTTCAACTTTAAATTAGTCTACTGTAAAGATCACGCATTGTCGCTTAGTCACGTTTGCCTTTCAAGCGTCGCATTCTTTTGATTCATAGGAAATTTCATACAAAATTAATGGTTTTGTATATCGACACATATCACATAGAAAAATTGTGTATAAGCAATTAAGTTAAACATCCATGGCCTTTCTTAATTTTTACTTACTCTTACTTACTTAGAATAAATGATTTTTGCAAAATCACATCTAATAAATTGTCTATGTCCAAAACATCTAACATGTATCATATACATAACATACATATATCTAAATAATTTAACCAGGTTACAGCCCTTTGAAAGTAGGGTGTTTGATGTTATCATTAAAAAAAAAACAAAAGACTATTGGTCGTTGTCATCGGCGAACATAGTTATATTCCACTTTTTTAGGGCATGTAAATGTAAAAACGAGTTTTCCACGAACCTTTCCGAAAACGTGTATTCAGCGCGATCAGATTTGTCGTCTTTAGGAGTCTCGGGCGCCACCTGCGAGCCGTCCAGCTCCTCGACTGACGGGACAGAGTTCTGGTCGCTGAGGCTCAGACTGGCATCGGTCTCGTCTCGGTAACAACGGCGCTTGTGATCGATAGGGAAATTGTTGTAAGAATGTTCCACGCGCACTGCTTGCATCGTATTACTGTTGGTAAAAACAACTCTGTAATTTGACGAGGAATAAACAAAAATTAACTGGAGCCGGTTAATGGATGCTAAATGTAACTATGTTAATTATCGTAATGATTTCATGTAAAACTTAACAAAACAAGCAGCATATTATTGATTACGTTAACAATAGACAGCGCTCGGTTAGCTATCAAACATGATTCAAAAATCTAAAAACGAAAGCTCTAAACACACTCATTTTAGAATATTAGTGAAAAGGTTACATACAATTCAATAGCTACCTTGTCTTCCGCAAAACAGGACGACCCATTTCGACTTGTAATTCCAGAGAGTACAATTTGGCTAACGATGCCAACTTTTCTTTTTCTTCTGGGTCGTTTAAAGTCGGTAGCTTTAGTTCAGTTTGGCAAGAATCCTGAAGGAATTTCGAGAGTCGCTCATTAGCAGCGCTGAGGATCAGAAACCCTGGTCGCTCCTCGCGTATCCTGCGGCAGCCGGCTCTTATCTCTCTCACCTCTGCGACCGAAGATATACCCATAGAATGTTCGCTGTTATTATGGTCGCTCTGAGGAGATTTCTCGCTCAAATTCATATCACTCGACGATGTTTTCTGTAGAGAGAAATCCGTTCGCGGCATTTGATTAAGCGGCTCCTCCGATTTTTCCTCAAACGCCTGAAATGCCTGAAAAAACGACTCGTTCACATTCTGACCGGACCCGCCGGCCTTTTTAATGTCACTGAAACTCGAGAATGTGGAATGGGGCTGGAGGATGTTGTCTCTAAAGGTTGCCTCTTCTTCAACGTCAACAATGGTTTTAGAATCGGACATTACTGCATCATCATCGTTTCCGGAGTCAACTTTGGCTCGTTTTTTCTTAAGTCTGTTTTTACTCCAACCGCTTTTCACAAGATGATTCTCCTTTTTGAGGCGTTTAGGTGGGGGCATGTTACTGATCGATTTCTGGGAATGATTGTTTACAGTCTTGGTTGTTTTGAAAGTGAGACTCTTGTTAAACACTTTGAGTTCTTCGATTCCAGGCCAGTCGGTGAGTTCGTCATCACCTTCCCTGTCACTATCATTTGTGACAACTCCATCAGAGTCACTACTGCTCAATGAACTAGACTCGTTGCCCGTACATTCCATGCCACAGGTGTCATCAAATTGTAATGGATCTCTTAGTGTATTCGATGGATGAGTTTTGTTTAACAATTTGATTTTCCTATGGTATTTTGAATCCAGTTTGTTTTTGTTCAGAACTGGATCAAAAACAGGAGGTAAATCTGTTGTTACTTTATAACCTGTCATTTTAGAGAAATTAGGAGTGCAACCTTTTGATGTGTTTTTATATATAAAATTAAAGCTGGAACTGCTTGGTAGAAAGAGTGCATTTGTACAAGATGAAGATTTCACACCTTCCAAATTTGGAGATTTTAGAATTATCTTCCCTGGCTGCAGAATCGAGTCTTTCTTCTTATCAGTGTCATGTTTCCTGTTTTTCAAATCACTTTTGAAGTATGAAGATTTCGATGAACATCCCCCACTGAATGATCTCTCTCTCATTTCACAGACATCTTTGTCTCGGTGTGACCATTTCCTTTTGCCACAGAAGGCGTTCCTGTAAATTATCAATCATAAATACACAAAGCACAACTAGAACAAATATCTCATTCAACATTTCCTATATTTCATTATACCTCTCTGGCTTAAGGAGTTTGTGTTTGTTTACAGGAATCACTGAGGATGCGACCTGACTCTGTAGTGTGATGGTTCCTGGCAATGGATTGAGCTGTAAAATAAGTTAAATGACTAAATTCGGACCTTTAGACTGCATTGTTGAATTATGAAGAAAAAAAATTTTGTTTTTTCCTACCTAATCTGATAGCCTTGAGAGGCTATATCAGCGTAACCTTAACTAGTAGGTGAGCTCACAGGGCTTAAACCTGATGACGTTGCTAACACGAACCCTAGCAAAAGCCGTGCTTCGCAGAAACTACCACCGGATCCGAAACGCGACCCACTGAGAAGATCCGACGAGAAACTCAGTGGGCTGTGTCCAAGGGTTAGTTTACTCGTCGAGCCCTTCATCGCAAGCGACGGGTTCGACGAGAACGATGACCGGTGCTCGAGGTACCTAAGAGCACATTTGGGGGATCGGGAGGATCCGAAATGATGTGCTTTGGGCGACGTCGACTGCTTTCCATTCTGTCCGTAGGATCGGGAATGTAGTTACCGGCGGCCACGATGAAAGGGTTCTCGTGTCGTGCCGCTTTATCGAAGTGAAAAGTATCATTACTTGTTGCCCAAAGCCCTTTCCAGTTTCAGCAGGATAGGTGGGTGAACATGAGTTCAGCCAGGAGGGTTTGCATTTGCTAACGACTACCCGAGCGCCTCCGGAGAGACCTGACAAAATCCAGTGACATACTCATGGGTGTCAAGTTGCACATCAAACTCTTTGCCTTGTTCAACAATTATGGTTGCCAGGGTTCCTAAGCCTGCTCCTAGTGTTAGGGCTGAAGAGATCTAACGATAGATTTAGTAGATGTATATGTAAAGATGTGAAAAAAGATTTTCCAATCTATTTTACACAGTTGATAACAAAATAATTGAAAATTCAGATATTTTTCAGATTTAGAAACTAGTAATTTTCTTTTGTAAATTTTTTATTGATTTTATTCACATGTAAAGAAACTATATTTCTTAAAGTACATTTGTACAGCGCTCTATAGCTCCTGTGTACTTATATAGATGGCGCTGTTGACAATGGTGACATGAGTTTTTAATGAAGGGTTGACATCTGCCATGTTCGGGTATAAATTAAATTATTTTAGGAAATTGAGAGTGGTAGACTTTAAATGTCGTTTCTTTGTTTTCAGGTGAGATACCTATAATGTGAATGTACTGTTTATTACTGTTGTGTATGTTATTAAGTTGTAATTGTAAGTTATTAAAATAATAAAATCTTTGTTTTCAGAGCAACGCCATATTTGTTTCAACTACAAATCCCATTTATAATTCATAGTTAATTAAATAGAAAAATCTTATAAACATACCTCTGTTGTCACACTTAATATTTCAAGTGATGGTGACATTTTCCCATCCGCATATTCCACTGGCATTTTCTTATACTTCCTTTTCCTTCTTGCATTTGCAGGACGGGTTGGAGAGAAGTTCTCATTGAAAGAATCAGACTCAAAGTTGCCAATCTGGCAATACTGACGAGATTTCATTGTGGAAGACTTGTGTAGATTCAGTTGAGGGTCATCAGAGTCCGAGAGAGGCTGAGTGATCAGTGGGGCCTGTGGTGGACTACTTGAGCTGCCATCTTCGACAATGCTCACTGTTACTGCTGCTGCTGAAAGGAGACACAGTTTATATTAGCAGACTCCATAGAATTAAGGCGACATTTATAATATAATAATTTTTCACGGATGGTAGGATCTCTTGAGTCCGCAAAGGTAAGTACCACCACCCTGCCTATTTCTGCCGTGAAGCAGTAATGCATTTCGGTTTGAAGGATGGGACAGCCGTTGTAACTATATTGAGACCTTAGAACTTATCTCAAGGTGGGTGGCGCATTTACGTTGTAAATGTCAATGGGCTCTAGTAACCACTTACCAACAGGTGGGCTGTGAGTTCGTCCACACATCTAAGCAATAAAAAAAAATGTAAACATGTAAAATATATACCAATAATCCAGAAATTGAATTATGTACTATGAAATATGTAATGAATCTATATTTTTTCCATTAGCCACATAGGTGAATGGTGTAACAGCACCCTTGGCTTGAAGAATAATAAAGTACCCTGTGTTTTCACTAACATTAAATTTGTAATTCAGAAACAATCAAACAGAAAGACCAGATCTTATATTTTAATCTAAGTTGTAAGCTTTATGCAAAATCAATAATTTTGTCAATATCGATGCTTGAAAGGCAAAAGTGACTAAGCGACAACGCGTGAACTTTACAGTAGACTAATTTAAAGTTGAAATTCATTTAAAATATACATGAGAAATACGTGAAAAAAAAAATCTATTTTAACGAATATAGCTGTAGATTGAAATGATTTTAATAGACCTAGAAATATATATTTTTTGCGCATCGAATATGGTTATTGCCTATCATTTATGTACAAATCAGTTATTGTCGCTTAGTCACGTTTGTCTTTCAAGGGTCGATATTAAAACATCCAAACTTAGATTTATAATATCAGTAAAAATTTTTGAATAACTTCTAAGTTTTGTCTATTTTGTGCGACGTTTTTAATTGACGATTCTGATCTACTTGGTTGTAATGAATTATCACTGCATCAACGCTATCTTCAAATTCATAACTAATATACAAACACTGGCTTCAACACACGAGGCATGCAGTAGTTATTAAAAAATACTATTATTACATGATTTGGGCCTAAAACTGGAAAATATTGTTGAAAAAGAACTTATTCCATGTGGAATCATTAATAAATTCAGAGATTTAAGTATGCTGCATAATATACTACAAAATGTTTTTAAATTTAATAGTTTATTTCACGTGAAGATTAAAAAAATTACTATGTTTATTTTACGATAATCAACCTCATTAAAATACTAAAATAATATTACTTTGTTGGATATATGTGACAATTTCTTGTGAAAGCATTATTAAATACAAACTTAACAGCACTAAGCAGGATTGTTGTAAAAATATTTAGGCAATACCTGTGATGCGCCGCGCACGTACACAAATTAATGGAAAATAAACAATTCGTCACTCACGCAGGTTCCCCGCTGATCTGGTACGACGTCGAAGCCCTATTTTTCTGCGCTCTTGCCTCCCGCAGTTACTCTCCTCCAATGCTAGGTTAAGATCATGAGAAAGTCTCTCCATATCTATTAATCTTCAGATGAGCCCATTTCGGTCAAATCTAGAACATACTGCGGATACTTCAAACTTCGTTACGATCGACACACTTCTTGGAGCCCTTTCACAAAGTTGTAGGTATCTAATTCTTACAACCTTCACTTTCATTTGTATTTAAAATATGTCAGCAAGTTCAACTTTGTTGTAACATAACAAAATTTATTCACGAGTCACAGATTGCAGGTCACCTTTTCTAATTTATAGATTGTTTTATTTTTATTATGTACCTACTGCGTCTTATAATTTTTATAGTCTAAATAGTCTAATACATAAACTAAATGGATTTTCATAATATAGAGATTTCATTTAGAATTGTTGTTTATTCTAAGTTAAACGCACAAAAACAGAGAAATAATGTCGAAATTCTTTCATAGATTCAACCATAGATTTTTTTGGTACAATTTTTCCTTATTAGGAAAGGCAAAGGGATCTAAGCCTATACACCCTTTCAACAATAGTATATACACCCTTATATACACCCTTTCTCAATAATTTCTCAACTAATATATACCATAGATTTTTTGTTATTCGATGTTATGTTTCTCATTTAAAAAGACAAAAGAAATAGACACCACATCCTTTAAATTTATAAAATGTGGCCTAAAAGATAAACACCATGATTTGAACAATTGCATAGTACTATTATTTGATAGAAGTGCACTGGGCATCTTGTCCTTTGGGCTACAATAACTTGTGCTTTAGGATTTGTAGAAGTCACTTCAGAAAATTACTTGGGGACCTCACAGGATATTACGGCACTAGATAGCGCCCATTTTGTTACTTAGACAGTTAAATTAATTAAATGTTTATTATTTTATAGTATTTTACCTGGAGGAAACTTTGGTAGGTCAAAGCCATGTCTGTTGTAGGCATAAAGGAAAATAGAACATAATTAGATGAATTGAGATAAAACATCACCGTAGGGGGACTTTTTGGGGAAACACAAAGAGTAAAGTTATGGTTTTTTTATGTTTGTTAATTCACTGTTTCTTCTTGGTTAAACGTGCAGTAATAATGGCTTATTGATCGTTTTATATTTGTGAAAGTGTTTCATAGGTTCCTCTAAAAAGCCAACCAAAGTTTCAATATTTTACTGCTTCGCATTTCATGTCACCTATGACTTGTGATATATTATATAGTTTAAAACCTGGTATCAACATAATTTTTGATTAGATTAAATAAGATAGGTTGTTACTGAAAACGAAAAGGACCTCGAAACATAGTTAAACTATCAACTAAGTATATTAAGTACTTACCTTAAAACTAGAAAAAAATAATCGTAATTAATAATTTAGTATAAAATTTTATTTATAAATTTTCGACTGACTTTTTATTAGAACTCTCCATTTATAAGTAAAATGGATATTCGTTCTAAGTTTTAAGTGGCCCTTAAGATACAAGCTGAACAGCGTATTCATAAACAAATTTTAGAAATTTAGTGCAATGCAATCTCAAAATAACCACAAACATACAATCTTAAAATTTTTCGCAAGATCGCTTTAAGTACCTGTTTAAATAACCATTTGTAAAATAACAAAATTTTTGAACGTTTTAATTTTATAAATTTAATGTAAGCAGTTGTATGAACTGAGAAAAGTAAAACCAGTTTTGTTATTTTATGCTCCATCAGCGAATAGTCAAATTATTATCTAAGCAAATTAATAAGAAAAATAATCCGTTGCTGTTTCATTTGACATAAAATTTTCAATAGGAATCAAACTTAAATAAAATATAGCATAACTATTTGTATAATTAAAAGGGCTTGTAGTGTGTAATTATGATAGAACACTAGATATCTGATAGATAACTGAATTTCGCCAGCGACAATTTCAAGATAAGTTTGCACAGATATAGTATAGTAGTATTTATTTATATATTGTATATATTATAGTATTGTAAATATATTATATTTCCACAATAGTAATTTTTAAATAGCTGAAAGTGATTCGAAATTAAAATTTTCTCTTAGTCTCAAATTCCAGATTTAATACGAGTGAAACCACGGGCTCATCTCGTATTACACAAATAGTCTATGGCATCACAATAACAAATGGATCTACCTGCAGGAATCCTTCCGGCAAGCATCGGAATCATAACGGACCGGTGAGTATTCACAATATGCGCACCGACTCATTAACAGTAAAAAAACGTTGGTGACCGTTGCTGTATGCCGATCCGTGACATTGCCAATGCATCTGTCATTTGTCAATTTTTGCGCCAATTTTGTTGTTTGTCTCTCAATTTGAATTACTGTTGTAAGTTTTGATTTAGTTCAGTTTATTCAATTCGAGAAGAAATTCAACATTTGACAACTAAGGTAAGAAAAATACATTTAATGGCGTCAACTGTGTGTATAATAGCTTTTATAAATGAATCTCAAACTTGTGTATGATTTAGATATAAGTTGATCTGAGAAAGTCAGTGTTTACAGAACTACTGCAAAGCTTCGTACTGCTTAGAAATCTAGAATAGTGAACTATAACTAAGTATAAACGTTTTTCATCAGATGAAATAAATTGAAAGACTTAAATTAGGATCACGTTATATTCTTTGTTTGATCTTTCAATTCTCAAATCTAAATAACCCCAGTAATGTTCACAAAAAGCAACAGTGAAAACGTTATATTGTTGATATCATACGTTCTTAGGATATGTGAGAGAATTACCTTAAATTGAATTGTGAGTGAAAAGGGAGTGGCTATGATGAAACTTAAAGAAGGGACTTTAAAAATGTGTAACCTTTGTGCACATCATGATATTAAGTATAATAAAATTAATTATGTTTGCATTCTTAGCCCAATAATCCGAAAGCTGCAAGATTTTCTTAAGTGTTAAGGTTGTTAAGATTATATAAGAATAAATAAATATTTACCTAAATAGGATAAGCTAAATCAAGTGCTTTGAAGACTTGTCTTTAATATAAAAATATAGTACATGAATGCAGAAAATTAACTTTATATCTTTTCATTACACAAGAATATTATATACATTTCAAAGTATAGCATGAATCTCTATGAAAAAAAGATAGAGATTTCCCTTCATTGTAACTTTTTTAATAGTACCCATACAGCATGGGCTGTTTGCTGAAGAAACAGTGTAGGATCAAGGGGACCTCCAACCCTGTGCTCGATGGTAATGCTCTCACACAGACAACTCTTGCTCCACATTGAGCTAGGACTAAAAGAAAAAGATAAACTTAAGTGAGTGTCTAATGAGCAATTCTAACTATACTTGAGACTTATATCTCAAGGTGGGTGGCGCATTTACGTTGTAGATGTCTATGGGCTCCAGTAACCACTTAACACCAGGTCAGCTGTGAGCTCGTCCACACATCTAGGCAATAAAAAAAAAGGAAATAAATTTTATATATTGTATATGCTCATCTGGCCGGTCCTTGGAAAGCAAGACATGGTGGCTTCACTCCAAACGAAAAATAAGCAAGAGTGATTCCTTTTTTTGCAGTGTAACACTTCAGAGCAATGTACCGCACTCTGGCCCCATGTCTGAAATATAGAAGTATAGAGGCATATTTTAATGCTGACTTTTGAATAAGCTTACTTCCCATTTGGTGTTAAGTGGTTACTGGAGCCCATAGATGTCAACAATGTAACCATATATAAACCCATTCCTATGAAAGCTCCATGCATCTGAGAGTATAATAGTATACTGTGATAGACCAACAACAAAAGATGAGATATAATTATTTAACAGAGCTATACTTGAGTCGACTATTATCAAAGCCGGCAATGTGACTTTTGGACAATTATTGGTAAATCAGAAAAACGAATTATTGACTTTGTATTCCATTGGCAGTCACAAAACTCTTCTGAACGACATCTTAGATAAATAACAGGTTAAGTATTAACCTTTATTTAATGCAGGTTTTGAACCGTATTCTTTGAAGGAGACGATTATATTCAAATCAATCTGTATCGCCATATCAATAACATTTTTTTGTCCAAATACACAGATTGCCACCTTTGATAATAGACGACTCACTTAACCCTATGGTTAAAGTAAGATTATTTTTTTAGGTTTTCACGACTTTTTACTCACAGACAATTAAGGTGCTTATTCATCGAAATTTTTAATATTGTACCAATTACCATCTACAAAATAGGATCACGAAAACTAAAAAAAGCGTAACGTCGGAAATCTAATAATAAAAATAATAAAGACGAGATTTAAACCGTAAATTTAGTTTTAATAGAGGTAAAGTTTTCTAAATAACTGTAACAACGATATTGATAGAGCGGTTGTACAGATGTTACGCCGACATTTCGAGCCTGGACGATCTTTTGGGTATAAGATCATGATACGACCGCGATTCGAACTCTGAATCTGTGGTAAAGCAATCAGGATAAACTCGTATACATTTTTTTTATGTTTTTTATTTTTATTTTTTATTGCCTTTGTAGGCAGACGAGCATACGGCCCACCTGATGGTAAGTGGTTACCGTCGCCCATGGACTTCAGCAATGCCAGGAGCAGAGCCAAGCCGCTGCCTACTAATAGAATAAGAATAAATATAGAGCCAATAAAATACTAGAATGCACCAGAAAGCTTGATAAACAGTGCAACGGCTGCCCCGCTCTTCAAACTGAAACGCATTACTGCTTTACGGCAGAAATAGGCAGGTTGGTGGTACCTACCCGTGCGGACTCACAAGACGTCCTACCACCAGTAATTACGCAAATTATAATTTTGTGGGTTTCATTTTTATTACACGATCCTTCACCTAGCAGCAGTAGCAGCGAAACGCAGCATTTAAGTCAAGACGTTTTAAAAGCTCCGATAATCCTGTTTAAAGGCCTATTTTTATTAAAATTAGTTTGTTATTTAATTAACTTAATTAAAATAGATATTCATTTAAACAAACATACTTAAATATCATTAAAATCAACTTTTTATTTATTTACGACAATCGAATAAACACAAACAAAAAGTAATTAAGTAACTGTGTTACCATTAGCATGTTTTCTGCCAGGCCATTTTGGAAATCTCTTAAAACTTTTGTTCATTATTAGGTACGATTAACTAATTAGGGAGCATTCAATTTTATTTATTTGTCTTCAATGTAGTCTATGGCCTTAAATATAAATGTTAAGTTAGCCACCACTGTTAGTATAGTAAGCTTTATTAGTGAATAGACACGCTCTCTTGAAATATTCGTTAAATTCCTCAAGGAGATATCATCGACAAATAATCGGTACGCTATTTCATTATTCTTTTTGAGTGTTTTATTTTTAGTATTTAATTTTGACGCGATTGAGAAGTCCATAGACGCTCCTTAAAAATATATTTGTAATTTTTCTACCATCAATAATCGCTAGCAAACTTTTTGAAACGTTAGAAATTAAATGAATAAAGCTTAATCCTTTGAGGTCCAAAGACCACACCTGTTGAATATATAGTTTAGTTTTACATTGGTCCTAGGACCGCAAAGAGTTAAATCGAACTCGTCGACTCCGGCGAAGAATTCCACGTGCGAACTAGCTCATAGACACACCCCACTGAGTTTCTTGGCGGATCTTCTCAGAGGGTCGCGATTCCGATCCGATAGTAGATTCAGCGAAGCACGACTTAGCAATTCTTTCAGGTTAAGCCTGTGAGCTCACCTATGGGTCCGCGTGAAGTTGAAATAGCCCCTTAGGCTCCACAACATTTGCAGATCGTCAAGTCCCACAACTCTCACATACCCCGCGCGCCCCTTAGGCGCGGGGACCTCGTAGGAGGTCCGTAACCGAACCACCGGCCCGAAAAAAAAGACATATATATATGATACTCGCACGCACCCCCATCAAATTGTGCCTTAAAATGTAAAGAGGTTATTGTGCCTTAAAAATAAATATACATAGTAAAATAGATACAAAATCGTAAAATCATAGAACTGTCAAATTTTTTGTGATGATGAATCCCCCATTAAAAAGAGCCCATTACAAAAGTATAAGGGTGCGGTAGAACCAAAATTATTTTCCAAAGTACCTTCATTTATGATATTAAATATCATTAAGGTACGTTCTTAATGAAGATTAGAAAACTTTCGGTGTCATTCCTTATTTAAATACACAACAAAAAAAATCGCCTATGTTAGTTAATTAAATAAATTCATTCTGTATTCATTATTAAAATAATATTTGGTGTTATTTAAATTAAGAACAACTCTGAAAGCTACTAACCGTCACAGTTTTATTTTTGGACTTTCTCTCAAAAGCTTAATAAACAGAGTAAAGCTTGATTAGCAGCAACAGCGCCAATGGAAGGCGCGGTGACACCGGAAGGGGGGCGGCGCACCACGCGAGCCGCGCTCGCCGAGATCCCGGGCTTCTTGGACCGGCTGCGGGTGACTCCGCTGCAGACCCTCACCAACACAAGGGACCTGTCGCCAGCGCTGCCTGCAGGCTACCTCAGTCCGGCTCCGTCACCCGACGAGCAACTTATACAGCAGAGAGGTGATGGTATCCTTATGAATCTTAAGGCGAAAACACATTATTAAAACGCGACGTGACGCAACGTGTCGACACCCGATATGAATATATTATGTTTACTGTAGCGACATGGCTGTGTCCCTGACATTGTGTCTTTGACATTGTGTATTGACGTTGTTTCAGAAGGGGACGCGTGCAACTTTTCCTCACCTGAAAGCACTTTGAATAGTTTTCTGTATTACTTATTTTGATTCCGGAAAAGTAACAAATTAAGTTAAGAATTGCCGAGTTAGATAAAATTCTTTTACCAACATAATATGCGGTAGGCAGTGGCTTGACTCTGCCCCTGGCATTGCTGACGTCCATGGCCGACGGTAACCACTTACCATCAGGTGGGCCGTATGCTCGTCTACCTACAAAAGTCAATAAAAAAAAAATAGATAATATTTTTTATTGAATTACTAATTGATTAATATGAAGAGAAATCCATAAACTTCATAATTTATTAAGAGCACTACTGTATTAATTTCAGGTCGCAAGCGACTGCCAGTAACGTGGTCTCCAGAGATCGACATAAAACGCAACTCTTCCTTCCACTCCTCCGTTCGTACTCCCCCTAAAATCACACCAGGACGTGTTTCCCCTCCCAAACTAGGAGTCACGTTACGATCCACACCGCGCAAGCGTCTGCTAATGGGAGAAACCGAGAGAATCCCATTAACACCAGAGAAAATCGACTTCAGCGACATTAGCACGCCACAGAAGTTCAAATTAAACAATCAAGAATGCTCAATCAAGAATACTCCACCCATGAAGAGGTCGAGAGTTGAAAAGGTTTTGGACATTGAGTACAGAGGCCCAATTGACACAGCTCTTAAGGGTTTGAGTCCCACGCAACTGATACACATCATAAAGAACATAACTTACAAACATCCTGAGGTTGAACAAGAGCTAAGAAGGGAAATGCCTCTACCGGACTTAAGTCCGTTGGACGAGAAACTGTCATATCTGAAGTCTAACATCTTCAAAAGTCTGCCTACATCGCGCCTCACATCAAAGACTGACTCCCCAGCGTATTCCAGGGTGTCCACACACTTGGCAGCATTTAAGAAATGCGTCATTGATCAGGGAAAAGTTCTTGTGGAATCCCAGCATTGGGAATCCGTATTGCACTACGTCTTCCTCTCGTGGAACTACGTGAAATCGACTCCGGTTTGGGACAATCAGCCCCACAACGCTCACAGGAAACAGTGTTTCAAAGCGTTGACGAACTTCTGTTTGACGGCCTTAAAGAAAGGAAACTTCGAGAAAGACTTGCTGATCGACGTTCAAGATAAACTGCAGGAAATGATCTGTGACAGCGACGAGCTACATTCCTGCTTGAAAATTGTCCAGGGACAACTTTGATGCCGTACTTTTTTGTCACCTTGTTCAAATAACAGAACGAAAATTTTAAAACCCGATTATCTACTAATCGACTATCTAATAAGATAAATTCATTAACATCTAAGAACAATACAATAATTGTAATTAGTACATAAATGTGTGTAAGTCATTTTTATTACTGAATGACTTTTAAATCATTCGATTTCAAGAGACATGTAACAAGTGATTTGATGTGCCTTTATCTTTAAAAATTTGTTATGTAACAAGAATAATTGTATTTGAAAGTAGAAATAAATAACATAGCAAACTGTTTGAAATGTAAACAATGTGAAGTAAATGTTGTAAATCTATATTATTCATATACAAGTTTGAATTAAACTATTGAAATTATTCTTAATTCATACATGTCATAAACAATTCGGATGAGTACGTGTTTATCTGTAGCGTTCTGAAAGAAAATTGGCAGATTCACATTGTAAGCTTTAAATAAAAAAACAATAACATTAAATATAAAAAGTATTTAAAAGGAACATATGAATTTATCAGTTTTTCATCAATCAAATATTCGCGTCATTCAAACGAATCATTTAACAAAATTTCCACCAACCGTTTTCTGTACCTCAATATTATTGACTGATTAGAAAAGAATCAAAATGTATTTTTTTGATAGTATAATTTCGTCGTCTTCCATAATAATATGGAGTATTTTAATAATAAGTTTGATTCTTTTCATAGCTGTGAACTAGCCAAAATGTAGGATTAAGACAAACATATTGTAAGCTATTTGCCAGTTTTTTTAAATGTTTAATATCGTTTTGGCCATTCATACATATAAAATGATCCTATTTTGTCACTGTTAACTCAAACTTGGTTTTTTGAAGTTTAATTCAAATTTATTGATTACATTCGTTCACTATTTTAAGTGGATGATTTTGTGTTAATTCTTAAAATATCTTATAATCTTTTATCACAAAATTTTGCCTAGAATTTTAACTTATACTTTTTTAGTACTCAAATCAGTTTTTCCAATAACGATACCCTTTTTATTTTTATTGGCAAGACTGCATCGACAGAGCTTTTTTCTAAGTATTTTTGGATTATACTGTAATTAAAAAAAAAAAAAAATTGAATTAACTCTTTATTGTTGTAGTAATATCGATTTGAAAAACAATGAATGTTGTCATCAACAAATAAAACTTAGTACACATTATCTTGGACAAATTGGTCTCATTTTAGTTCGCAACGAAGATTTGGTCAATCATTTATATCAAAATGTGTATTACGTAAGGTTTTTTCTTGTTACTCTCAGATCTGTTCTCACATTAAACACCTGTGCCTTAGTAGAAAGTAATAGCAGAGCAAATGCCATTACTTTTAACTTTTACGTGTTTGTAACTCTGTAATTTTAGAAGTGTACTTTCTGTGAAAAATAAAATTTTATTTTGATAATTTATTGTTTCTCTTCAAACGTTTCCTTTGTGTTTTCAAACCGGAACCACTGACTGATTCGGCGTAATAAGAAAAATCGTGAAAGACCATACAGATTCTATGGTTACAGTTTAGTTAACATGTGTATTAACCAAGGAAAATCGTTGTCTGCCTGTAATGATTTTGATGCGAGTATAGGCCAGACGTCTGTTACAAAGCTGCGGAGACTATAAATTAAACAAGTTTATAGACTAAATAATTTTGAAAAATATTCAATATTCATGGCATACAGGGCTATCTTACATCATGCAGGGCTATTATCTGAGCAAGGTAGACATCTTTTTGTGCGTGAAAGAATGGAGATGAATATGTGGTACAATTAAACAGATATCAAGTAGATACATGTCACATTAAAAAGTTTTTTGGTATGTTTTATTTATCAAAACATTTCTGTTTCGATTTTTCAGTAAAAAAGTCCTTAAGTTCTCCTAGCTTGTATTCTTAGGTCATAAGGCTATATGAAAATAGTGTCTTCTAAGTAATAAATTATGAAAAAAAAATCTATGTAACATATTCTTGTTTGGTTCGTTTAGATACTTTTCTTTAATATCCCTAAAACAAATGATATATTCAAAAACACAACTGTCTATCAATCTACATCTGTGTGCTTAGTGCGAGAGTTTCAACGTTCTCGATAGCGTAAAAGTTAACTCAGATTTGTATGCAACTGAAACAGCGCCCCTAGCGGCAAACGTAGGCAAATGTTCCAACTCCATACAAATTTGAGTTAACTAATACTTTTACCCTATCGAGATCGTTAAAAAACTCGCACTAAGAACACAGATTACTACTTACATAGTAAAAATACGAACTTCTTAACATCGTTAAAATTTCTACTTAAAATGGAAATACTGAATTAGTATCATTCTGTGGTGGAAGAGCTTACGATTGGCCCGGTGTTGTCGATGCATTTGCGTTGTGTATCTGCATGGGCCCCGCTAACCTCTTGACAGAAGGTGGGCAGGGTCTTTTCCTGGCCCATTCCACATTTACTGAAAACGAAAGTTTATGATTTACAAATCCGGATACTACGGCTAGGTAGTTTGGTCAGAACCAAGCCGCTCATTATGGTTATATCCACACTCAGAGCTTCTCTGAAGGATAACTCCAGGAATGAGACTATTAGGCAGAGAACGAAAGTCATTGATATGGCTCAGAGAGTCAGTCGCTGGAATAACAGGTTCTTGAGAGGAAGCCGCGTACCCGCAAATGTAGATAGGGGCGCGCCCTGGCCAGGTGGAGCGATGATTTACGAAGGGTAGGAGTGAGCAATGAATCAGGAGAACCGAAGACCGAACTTAGTGGTGTAAATTGGGAGAACCTAATGTCCAGCAGTGGATTACTGTGGGCACACGATGACAATGAAAAGTTTATTACATATATATTATTTTCTGTTTATGTTTCGGGAAAAGTATCTTTAAGCCTATGCTCTTCCTTACCATTGTCCACTGTAAGCAAATTTCCAGTGCCCCGATATCCAGGCTGCCCTATATTGGCCGCCGATTTTGGTCTATCGATTGTAACATGAAGGAATACCTATTTTTGTGAGTGCCGACACTCAAGTGGTATTTTCTATTGGCTGCGGTCACCACTTAGCTCCAGACGGTTTTAGGTAGATATTTCATGTTGTAAGTATATTAATTTCAAGAAACTTGTTTTTTTTTTCATATATCTTTTATACTAAGCTAAATGTACACGGATATTAGTCAATTGGCGGGTTCATGAATACTTGTGCATTTTGATTTATTTTAAAGATAATGAAGAAAGTAAACGAATCATGCTCGAATATGTTAAACTTTTTATTTTCATAAATAATTAGCGTGATAAAACTATGAAACATTTATTTTAAAGTCTATTTATATAAAAATTTAAGTTCAATGTTATAAACAAATTAGAAAATAAGACCATAAAATATTATTTTCATATAGTGCGTGATAAAACTTAAATATTTATTTTATAGTATATGAAAGGTCAAAATTGATTTAAATGTTAAAATAAATAAGATAACTAGACATTAAAATTATTCAAAAATTATAAAAAATAAATACGTATAAAAGAAAAATCTTAATTTCCAGTAGGTACATGTTTAAATTTGATTCTTCTCTTCGCTGGTTTTGTCTGTGGTGTTTTTGTAATTATTCTTTTGCAGATCTCCGAGTTCAATATACTCTGGTGAATCGAAATCTATTCTTCTTCTAGTTATTTCAAGGGCAGTTCTTCTCGAGACATGACGTTTCGGTGTTCTTAACACGGGAATATGTTCAAAGCGTTCAGAATCTAATGTTGGGATCTCTTCGATGATTGATGATTCATGAAGTAATTCATTATCCAAGTATTCTTCTTGTTGTTCACTCCCGCAAGAGTCTGTTTCACTGTCACTCTCGTAGTTTTGAAACTTCGGGAACGGCGTCCTTCCGGGTGACGCGATTGAGGCCCGTATATCAACATCTGGTGACGAAGCCAGCGAGCCTTTTTCTATAAAAACATATTATGTTTGGTCATTTTAGCACAGCGTGGTCTGGCAATAGAATAAAGTCACAATTAAAAGTACATTTGAGAACAGTCCGTTTCCATTCTTCAAAATGTTAATAGCAAAATAATATAAAAGAGAAATCTAAGGCGTAAAAATATCAATCAGTAATAATAGAGGTTGAGGTTGAATTTTGGTCATTCGGCGAATTCTAGTAATTTTAAATGTCAAATCTGTATATAACAAGTCACACAGAATAGTTGGATGGTGCTCACTTGCTTCAAACGTGTCCGTCGTCTTTCCCGAAAACAAGCTCACAAACTTCATTTTGTAAATACGAAACATTCTGAATTCGATTAAATTCAATTCAAATACTGAGATAGCAGCAGAACCAACACTACAGAAGTACTAATGTCACTGAAGGCTATCTTCTGTTTATATACAGTTGTGCATTTAGTGCACGAAGTAATTAGGTTTGTTAGTAAATCACCCTGGAGTGATTACTTAATTATACGGTACTTACGGTAGTTACCAACAGGTAATTAGATTTCCAGTAAACAAACAATACCTAATGCTTAATGCAACCCTTTTTATCTCCAATTTTAGTGATTAGAAGTAATTTAAAATCGATTTATTTTTAGTTTAGTCATTAAGAAATGATATCAGTGTATATTTGATAATAAATGGCTTCAAAAAACGTACCTTTTTTCGTAATTTTCGTTTAAACATCAAATATCTCGTGAATTGTCTGCCCAGCCAAGCTAGTTAGGCTTACGGAGGGCTTACGTAAATGATCGTTGATTTTTTTCGAACTATTTTTGGGAGCTGCTCTAACTGTTTCATTCACATGTAACTTTTTTTATCTTCAAACCGGAAAGTATTCCTGCTACGACTCAAAAATAGGCAGAATCGCGGTGACTCTTGCTAGAGCACGTTACTAGAGTGCGTCAGAATACGTAAAGTCAGCAACTAAGAAAAGCTGGTGCGTGTCTGCAGGATTTTGATGCGAGTATGGACCAGGGTTCCAGTCACAAATTTTCGAAAACTTTTAGACCCAACTAAGTAGTTTTCAAAATACTTCAACACTCAAGTGTTACGTAAAGCTCCATGTCATGAAGTCATATGGATACTATATGAACAAAGTTTACCATCTCGGTATACGACGAAAAATGAAGAATCACAAACACAACATATACACATAAAATTCTACTGGTTTTCTAAATAACTTAAGGCGGAACAATTTCCATTTTTCTCTTCGTCTTAGATTTGGAGTAATATTCCTCAATAGCACTAAAAACTTGTGGTGCCCTTAAACCAGAAGGCCACAAGATATTGAAAGATCGAAACAGTTAGGACTTTGAGCGTAAGTATCCACTGGGGTTAAATACTTTGAGGGCAGGATGAGACTCCCTAACAGATCGGAGATTGTCAACTAAGCATATGTTGCTCATTTTTTTGCCCCTACCTATTTACTGGTAGCCTAATGGACTACCTTCTCGACGGGGCTCACCCTGAGAGCATGTTTTTTTTTTGCTTACATGAGTGGACGAGCTCACAGCCCACCTGATGTTAAGTGGTTACTGGACCCCATAGACATCCACAACGTAAATGCGCCACCCACCTTGAGATATAAGTTCTAAGATCTCAGTATAGTTACAACGGCTGCCCTACCCTACAAACCGAAACGCATTACTGCTTCACGGCAGAAATAGGCAGGGCTGTGGTACCTACCCGCGCGGAGTCACAAGAGGTCCTACCACCAGTTACTAATACTGGCCTTAGCAAGAGCATTACTTCGCAGAATTTACCATCGGATTGGAATCGCGACACACTTTGAATTATTTGTAATCGGTAAGGTCGATTCGAGTTCGAAAGATTCTTATGGCGGGAATAGAGTTACTGTGCCTAATTCAAGACGAATATTAGCACCGGGCCGGGAGGGTGACCCCTTTTGAACAGCACGGCTATGCTCTTCGTGGGGTTAATGTCGATACACCACTTCCGGACCACTGACCTAAATTGGTGGGCGCGATTGCTCATCACTGCTTTACATTAGAATACTCTCCTCTCGTCCTGTATCCTGAAAACTTCAGGTTAATGTCGTTTCTTGGAATGCGTCCATGTTTTGACTTATTTCTATTGCGTCGTAACTCCAATGTAAAAGTTAAGTTATAGGCGAAAGTAACTATATTAACCGTAGGTACCTCCTAAATTATACTCAAGATTGGATGGGAGACGGTTTCATTTAAGCTATTATTTTGTCCCAGTGGATACTGATAAAATTACAAAAATTAAATTATGAATAAACTAAGAAAAATATCGATTTAAAGTTACTTCTAATCATTGACTTGGAAATAAAAAGGGTTGCATTAAGCATTCGGTATTGTTTGTTTACTAGAAATCTAATTACCTGCTGGTAACTACCGTAAGTACCGTATAATTAAGTAATCACTCCAGGGTGATTTACTAACGACCCTAATTATTTTTCGCACTAAATGCACAAAGCATAACAGTATATAAACAGGAGATAGTCTTCAGTGACATTAGTACTTCTGTAGTGTTGGTTCTGCTGCTATCTTAATATTTAAATTGAAATTGATCGAATTCAGAATGTTTCGTATTTACAAATTGAAGTTTGTGACCTTGTTTTCGGGAAAGACGACGGAAACGTCTGAAACAAGTGAGCACCATCCAACTATTCTGTCTGAATTGTTTTATACAGATTTGACTTTTAAAATTACTAGAATTCGTCGAATGATCAAAATTCAATCTCAACTACTCTTATCACTGATTGGCACTTCAAGCTTTAGATATTTTTACGTCTTAGATTTTCTCATTTATTTTGTTATTAACATTTTGAAGAATGAAAACTGACTATTTTCAAGTATACTTTTAATTATGACTTTATTTTATTGCCAGACCATGCTGTGCTAAAATGATCAAACATAATATGTTTTTACAGAAAAAGGCTGTCTGGCTTCGTCACCAGATGTTCAAGTACGGGCCTCAATCGCGTCACCCGGAAGGACGCCGTTCCCGAAGTTTCAAAAATACGAGAGTGACAGTGAAACAGACTCTTGCGGGAGTGAACAGCAAGAAGAATACTTGGATAATGAATTACTTCATGAATCATCAATCATCCAAGAGATCCAAACATTAGATTCTGAACGCTTTGAACATATTCCCGTATTAAGAACACCGAAACGTCATGTCTCGAGAAGAACTGCCCTTGAAATAACTAGAAGAAGAATAGATTTCGATTTACCAGAATATATTGAACTTGGAGATCTGCAAAAAAAAAAGTTACAAAAACACCACGATTAAGGACACAGCTGTTTAAAAACAAAACCAGCGAATGAAATAAAAAATATAAATAAAAATGTACTAAAAATTAAGATTTTGTAGTATCATATACCTATATTATGTTATTAATTGTAATATCTAATTAACTCTGTTATTGATATAGATCCAAAATAAATATTACTTTGAATATACTTTAAAATATGTTTAAACTTTATAGTTTCATCATGCACTAGCTACGTGTGAAAATAATGTTGTGTAAATAATAATTTATGAAAATAATTTAAGGTGCTCAAATAATGATAATAAACTATGTACCTATGTAACAGCTTACTTCGTTTTATTTTTATCATTAAATCATCCCTTAAAAATCGAAATAAATTATGTATTCATAAAGCGACAGTCTTTGGAACGAGATCAGGCTATATATTGAAAATGAAACGCAGACATTTTAGTGTATTGTTTTTTTAGAAACGACTCACGGTTCACTCAGAATAAAGTGGTGTTCGGTATCCATAGACATCACAACATGAATGCCTCCACTCATGAAACTAATCCTGAGTATTCGGTTGGAGCAAGAGAGCTATGTAGAACGTAGGGTCTTGCAAAGTTACCCAGAGGGGCCAATAGGAATGAAGAGGCTGGGTTTAGGGAGCTTTCTGGAAACAGTAATGGAAGTCGTCATGGCCTAAAGGATGAGATTCCCAGTGCGATATACGACTGCGCAGATGTTCGAATCCTGAAGACAGTTACCGATTTTTCTGATGAAATACACACAATTAACACATGTTCACGAATGACTTCAACGATTAGAATACCGCATCGTATAATAAAAATGATACCGGCCAATAAATAGGGCGTCTTTTGAGGCACACACGGGTAGGTTCCATCAGCCCGCCTATTTCGGCAGCGAAGCAGTAATGCATTTTGCAGGATGGAGGGAGCGGCCGTTATATAAATATATACAGAAGTAAGAGTTGGAAGTTATGTCTCAAGTATAGTGGCAGTATTTTCGTCGTATTGTTATTATTGTTTTCTATGGGCTCCGGTAATCACTTGACACAAGAGGGGATGGGCAATAAATGTTTATGTGATAAACTTTTAAGGTTCAACAACTTTACCGATGTCTGCTCAATTCACATTGTATCATCCTGTCTTTCCACTTCGAGTTCTGTGCTTCACGTTCAATGATCCTAAGCATCTAGTAGTAGGAAATATAATAAATTGAAATCGGAAAAGGTATATATGTTTGATAAATATGTCATTGATGGTTCACAATTGATATATACAAAACACAATTCATAATACGTTTCAAAATTGAATAAAGTACATATATAAAATTATTGTTAAATGAATGTGTGTTACATATTTATGAGTAATGTTATTCTGAATATGCGACATTTTCTTTCTTCAAAATAAGTAATTATGAAAACTAGTGGTCCCCCGGTATGTAGTCGAAATTCGACTGTAATTAATTGAAATTATAAGTTTGTACACTATTATGATTCTATTGTCAGATTTATAAATTTCTATGATCACAAATTTCGCCAAGACTACACTTTAGACAAAAATTAATATTAAACAATATTTAATCTATTCTCAATTTGACCACAGACTATAAGCAATAAGAAAAGTTTGACAATAAATAAATAGTATGCATGCGTATGTGTGTCAAATACATGGTAGTGTGTGTAATGATTTTTTTATTGATTTAATGTATTTTTTATGCATTATTTAACAAAAATTTTAGCATTCTGCACTCCTCTATATTCTCTATAAGTATGGGAAATTTCATACTCCACAGTCCGCGCAATTTTCGTTAAAAGGGGTACAAAGTTTTTGATTCACGTATATAGATAGAGCGGCCCCTCATCCCTAAATGGTTTTTTTCGGTTGGACAACGACACGGCTTAACCTTTCTGAACGAGGTAGACCGTGAGTTTGTACTCTGCCGTGTCTAACTCGCACTTACACTAATAGCTCACTGTCCTTGACTCAGCCCCGATCCAAAGCATACTTTCAGAAGTAGCCGTATTCGTTCAGCTCCTGAACAAGCTGGAAGGAGAGACGTCAGCCGGTCACGAATTATCCAGTATCTAAGGACCGAGCAAAACGTATAAGTACAGGCCAGCGGATCTTCTACCTACCTGGACCATGTTTTCAGAAACATCCGCTGAGATTGGGCTTCTCATGTTCAGATAACACTAGGACGGAGATCAACCACGTCTCTGGTAGGAAGGCCATCTAGTCACTGGTAATCAGAATCGAGCGGTTCCGCCAACAAGTTCAAGGGCTCCATTCTGTCCATCACGCACGCTACCTCCAAGGATATTATTCGATAGCCTTGTATAGTTGTATATTTGTCGTGGTGGCCTAAAGGACAATACTTCCGGTGCATTCGTGTGTAGCGATGTACCTACTGGTGTTCGAATCACGCAGGCGGGTACCAATTTTTCTAATGAAATACGTACTTAACAAATGTTCACGATTGACTTCCACGGTGAAGGAATAACATCGTGTAGTAAAAATCAAACCCGCAAAATTATAATATGCGTAATTACTGATGGTAGGGCCTCCTTTAAGTCCGCACGGGTAGATAACACCACCCTGCCTATTTTTGCTGTGAAGCAGTAATGCGTTTCGGTTTGAAGGCTGGGGCAGCCGTTGTAGCTATACTGAGGCCTTAGAACTTAAATCTCAAGGTAGGTGGTGGTGGCATTTACCTTGTAGATGACTATGGGCTCCGGTAACCGCTAAACACCAGGTGGGCAGTGAGCTCGTCCACAAACCTAAGATTAAAAAAAAACCTGGACCGCGACAGCGCGCTGCGTCTTCTGCATCAACTTCGCCATTCTGACGGTTAGGGACTGCCCCATACGGGACCTCTATACATAAACATTGTCTGTACCAGCCCCACACAGAGAGCCCATACCATCCTGTTGAGTTCGCCCCCTACACCTCAGATGTTGGGAAAAAGCCGGCATGATCCACCGGCCGTTCCCATCAGCCTATGGATACGGCTAACACGTAAAAATAAAAATCTGTTTTTAAATAGCACACGAATAAAATAAAAAGTGAAAATGGTACCTACAGGTGTAATTTTGTTAATGAACGCATATCTTTCGTTATTACGTGTCAAGAAAGAAACAAAGTTATTACACCTACAAAACTGACATTAAAATGTAGTTAATTCGTATGTTTGTGGCAAATTTATCATACCTATTTTTAACCTAAAACAAGTAATTGTCATTAACGATCAACAACAATGGAGCAATATAGATCACGTGTGTAATACATTAGAATCAATATCACAAAACATCCGGTCACCGTCCTCGTTGAACCCGTCGCTTGCGACGAAGGGCTCGACGAGCGAATTAACACAGCCCACTGAGTTTCTCGCGGGATCTTCTCAGTGGGTCGCGTTTCCGATCCGGTGGTAGATTCTGCGAAGCACTGCTCTTGCTAGGGCCAGCGTTAGCAACTCTCCGGTTGAGCCCCGCGAGCTCACCTACAAACGTTAGGGCGAAGCGGAAATAGCCTCTCAAGGCTATCAGCATAGGTAGGGGAAAAAAAACCCATTAAATACAGGCTATGTCCATGTCACATTAATAAATTCTATCGAATTTCGAGATTTTTCCATTTAACAAAGAACAATTCATATTTTACTATTCGTTTTACTATTGAAATAAATTTATTAATATACTATAAAATAAATGTTTCATACTTTTGTCACGCTCTACCTATGTAGAATAATTATTTTCTGTAATAATTATTTATGAAAATAAAGAGTTTAACATATTCGTGCATGATTTGTTTACCTTCTTCAATATCTCTAAAATAAATCAAAGTGAACAATGTATTCATAAACCAGCCGATTGGCTGATATCCGTGTATATCCGGATTAGTATATAATTATACTATATTTATTTAGTTTCTTGAAATGAATATACTTACAAGTTGAAATCTCTTAGCCTAAGTGGAGCTAAGTGGTGACCGGAGCTAATAGGTATGTAACTATGAGACCTTAGAACTTATATCTCAAGGTGGGTGGCGCATTTACGTTGTAGATGTCTATGGGCTCCAGTGACTACTTAACACCAGGTGGGCTGTTAGCTCGTCCACCCATCTAAGCAATAAAAATAATAATAGTAATAATAGACCATCCTATTTGAATGCCGGAACGCACAAAACTATTCCTTCATGTTACAATCGATAGGCTATAATCGGTTGTCACTAATAGACAACCTGGATCTTGAGGACTTGAAATTTGCTTACATAGGACAATGGTCGGGAAGAGCATAGGCTTAGAGATACTTTTCCCGTAACAGAAACTGGTGAACATAATACTCTCCCAATGTACGACGCTGGGGCCTGTCTTCGGCTCTTCCAATTCATTTCTCACTCTTACCCATCGTAAATCATGTCTCCGCCTGGCCGCTGATTACGTTTCGACTCAAAAATCTGTTGCTCCACACAGCCATATCTGATGTAGTTTATTGGTGAAATAACGCGTGACTGTTCTGCGTAAGACGCGTAGCGCGGCACTCAAACAGCTGTCTATATATTTTTCAATTTCAAGGAGAATTCCCATCTGCGAGAAGAAGACGTCGCCACCGAAGGTTTTGAGTTTTCATATAAACAGCTTCTCTTAAGCTGCTGGTTAAATAATACCTTTGACCCTTGGTTGAGCCCAAAGGCAATTCGAGCCTTAAAAGCAATCTCTTATGAGATTCAACAGTTCAACAACTATTCAATTTCATGCCTGATCTGATCCTTTTGTATCGATCCAACCAACGACTTTCAGTTCTTCCCACTTCGAAGTTTATTTTTCACGATAATAAATATTAACTATTAACTTTCCATGACATCAAAATTGCTATACGCAAAACGGAAAAAGCAATGTATTATAATTGAAATATTTAATAAATACATAATAATTTATTTACACAATTGATATTTTACTTAAAGTTGGTGTATAATTTGCATTATCATTCTTAATATTGTACATACATATGTATGTATATACGAATTGTTTAGAATAATTAAAAGTGAAACAAATGCGTTCGTTCGTCGAATTGAGATAACGAAATGACCTTATTTAAACATGAATCAAATTTTTAAATCAATAACTTCACGTGAAAAAATATTACAAAGATGTGCTTTTGTTAATTCCTTTTTGTTTTATGCTAATATGTACGTAAGTTAAATAAAAGTGGCATATTTGCATTTACGAAATTAAATATAATTAATATTCATAGCCTGTAAAGATAAAAACATAGCTGATATCTAATTTAAATTTTCACAGCTATATTTTTTGCACTTGTGGGTAGACTAGCATTCGGCCTACTTGATGGTGAGTGTTTATCGTGGCTCATGGACTTCAGCAATGCCAGGCGCAGAGCCAAGCCGCTGTCTACCGCTTAAAACTCTCCACAAGCCTCTTTTGAAGAAGGACATGTCATAGCGCTCGAGAAACACCGTGGAGAGGAATTCCAAATCCAGATGGTACGTGGCAAAAAATATCTCTGGAAACGCACTGTGGATGAACGCAGTTGCTCTAGGTAGTATAGATGAACTCTACTGCGGGCGGAGCGATGGTAAAAACGAGATGATAGATCATCTCAAACAATTCCTCAGAGCACTGCTCTGACTGCACACCTCACTGACACTATTGCTTCTAACTCTAGCATTTGTTTATTCCTTTTTGACGTCTTTAAATACTTTTTTATATTAAAAATAGAGAATATCTATTGAGTAATAACTCTTTGTCGAGTTCGAAGAGTACGGTTACCAGAGACTTCTCCTATTGTTAGTGCTGAAGGCGTCTAATGCAAGGGTTATTGGATCTGATGGATCCGTAAGTACGTGTCTAGAGCGTCAGCGGGGACTCGCTTCTACATGAGCCTAGCAACGATGAGGCGATTATCATGACGCCTTATCGAATTCACTTATTCACACACCTATCCAACACCTATCCAGCACGGGTCCCCGTTTTCGTTGAACCCGTCGCTGGCGACGAAGGGTTCGGTGAGCAAATTAATCTACAGTCAAAGACCGCTGAGTTTCTCGCCGGATCTTCGCCGATCCGGTGGCAGATTCTGCGCGAAGCACTGCTCTGGCTAGGGCTAGTGTTACCAATGTCCTTTGGTTAGAGCCCTGTGAGCTCACCTACTCGCCCGGTTACGCTATCATAACCCCCCAGATTACCAGCTTAGGTAAGAAAAAAAACTCACTTCAGCTGATCCAGGTCTTTTCTTCCCCCCGGTGAAGGTCACCGAGCGACCTGAGGGAACCGAGGCCGCGCGGCGCGCTACCAGCACTCTAGAGCGTTGCCAAGGAGAAAGATCTTCGATTTACAAAAGAGCAACCGGTTGGCGGTGCATCGCATCCCGACCTGGCAGGCTGGTTCTGGTCCAGCGGGGTATTCCAGGACACCAGCGGGGTATTCCGGGACACCAGCGGCACTATCTGGGCAGCCTGACGGGTTGCCGTACCGAGACGACCGACGCTTCAGAGACTTCGATTCGTCTCGAAGGCTCCGTCGGTCGGGCGTCCTTGGGGTGAGCTGCGCCGTCTGGTTGTAGTGTTGACCGCGGCAAGCCCCTTATCTCATGTGTGTAAAGAGTGCAGGGGAATCGTTTAATGGGTAGGGTCCTGAAAACATCCTTGGGCCCGCGGTCTCACAGTCGCGGACCAGTCCCACATACCCCGCGTGCCCCCTAGGCGCGTAGATCTCGAAGGAGGTTTAACCCCCGGCCGAAAAAAACATTAGGTGACATTGGCGCGTTGCTCTGGATTCGGTGAGCAGCGCGACATCCTCGTCGCGTCAAACTAGACGCGAACTTCACAAATGTAGATACCGACTGGGAAGAAGAAGAAAGGGCTTAAGGTCATACCGAACTTCAGCAATATCAGTACTGTCGATTTCCGTGACAACTGCGCAGACAGCCGGACTTACTTTCGTGTTTATAGTAAATACAGTGAATATAAATGTACATACTTAAAGTTCCGCAGCCAGTCGATGGTCGGTTGTCTTCATTTGAACTCAAGCAAGAATCGCGACGCACGTATAACAATGGCGAAAATTGAATTTACAATTAATGGGAGTTTGTGCAAAGGCAAGTTCATTATTATATAACGACGCCCTAAAGATTGAATTGAATTATTAAATGAGGCAAAAAACGCAACGTCACGTAATCAATTGTTTTTAATTTTAGAATCTTTTAAAGTTTCAATAAATTCGTAATTTTTATTGATAGTTTATTTTTACAATGTGTTTCATAAAAGTCACTTCAATAATACAATCAGAAACAATTTTCTGATATCTGATATCAATGATCTGATACAATCTGAAACAATTTTCTGATTGTATTCGCTGTGTTAACCATAATTAATGACTATGCTAGCAAGCTAACGTAGTTCTCAGTTCTGACATTCAATGTCCACCCATCTAATGCTAAGTGGTTACCGGGGCACAGACATACCGTAATAACCTGTGCATGTACATTTATTAATTTTGCGGGTTTTATTTTTAATACACAATACAGTTGTTTTATCCTGGAAGACGGTCGTAAGCACGTTACCAATTTTTTTTAATTAATTCTTTTTTTTAATACCCTAATACTTCTTGGGATATCAGTATATAATATATTTAAATAAATCGGGAGTTTCTGGGTAAACACTTTAATATGAACACATTTTTTAACTAGGTATTGTATGTATATTTGTTTATATGTAATAGAACCTTTGAACTTCATTCTCACTGACTTCGGGACGTCCGATTAACTTGAAAAGTTTTCGATAATTTTATAAATTCACTCTGACCAAATTATCTCGAGAATAAAAAAAAGATGAAATTATTTGTTACTTCGATTTGTTATTTGAGCGCTTTTTTTTAAACTTCATATATTATTTTTCATTACGTTGATTGGTTAACGAGTTTACGGCCCACCTGATGTTTAGTGGTTACCAGAGCACACAGACGTGAATCCCGCCACCCACTTTAAGACATTAGGTCCAAGTCTCGTCTCAGAGTCAATTATATTTGTATAACCGATGTTCCACTCTTCAAGCCTTCACTTACAATCATTGCTAATACCATGTCATTGGTTGAAAATATTATCTCATAATAAAAAAAAAACGTGCGAAGGCTAGTGGGTAATTTGCCTATTGTGTAACTCGATACGCCCGCATGGAATATGAAATTGTCATAATTTTGTAAAACACCTCAATGTCAACGCATTTATGAATTATAAATTTATTTTGAAAAATTAAATTTTTTGTTAAATTGTTTTGTCATTGCCATTGTTGGCAGACGAGCATACGGCCCATCTGATGGTAAGTGGTCACCGGCGCTCATGGACATCAGCAATGCCAGGGGCAGAGCCAAGCCGCTGCCTACCGTTAAGTACTCTCCGCAAGCCTCGTTTGAAGAAGGACATGTCATAGCGCTCGGAAAACACCGTGGAGAGGAGTTCATTCCAAAGCCGGATGGTTTTTTTTTTTATTGCTTAGATGTGTGGACGAGCTCACAGTCCACCTGGTGTTAAGTGGTTACTGGAGCCCATAGAAATCTACAACGTAAATGCGCCACACACCTTGAGATATTAAAATTAACATTTTAGGCTATTCTAATTTGATTTTTTTATTTTTATTTCTTAATAATAATAAATAAATAAATATTTACTAACAATCACGCCACGTTAACTGGTCCCCTGGTAAGTTCGTAAAGAACTTGTGTTACAGGTACCAGATAACGGAAATAAATGTAATTTTTTTTATATACACATACATATATTTAATATACATCCATAACTCTGGAAAAGACATTTTTTTTTATATTTATCATACAAATATCTTCCCTTGGCGGGATTCGAACCCGCGACCCCCTTGTGTAGTGACCATGTCACTTACCACTACACCAGACGGCTGTTAGATACAATTGGACTATTGAGCAACTCTAGTCCAAAGTAACAATAATATAAAAATATTCATTCTAACGTAATAAAATGAGAATATCGTCAATGTAGTATTAAAGTAAATAACATATGCACTGAAAATAATAACTCAGTCAAAATACCAGTCAGACCTTGATAAAATTTTAATGGAATCGTGTGAGATGCATCTTAAAAAAAAAAGAATCACCAAAAAAGTACAGTTAAAAAACCTCTTCCTTCTTTGAAGTCAGTTAAAAAGGCTAAAATTTGAAAAGCTATGTTTATCATATCCTCCTCGCGTCGTTTCCTCACTGCTGAGTGTCGTGACCATTATATTCGGAACGGTACTTCGATAAGGCTATGCGTCATGATAATCGCCTTATCGTAGCCGCCGCTGACTACTCCCCGAATCCTGATCATGCAGGAGTAAGTCACCGTCGACGCCCTAGACACGTCCTTACGGATCCATCAGATCCAATAACCTTTGCATTAGACGCCTTCAGCTCTAACACTAGGAGCAGGCTTAGGGACCCCGGTAACCGTACTCGTCGAACTCGACAAAGAGTTCGCCGTGCAACCTAACCCATGAATCAGATCGCTGAGTTTCTCGCCGGATCTTCTCAGCGGGTCGCGATTCTGATTAGCTATAGCTGTTAGCAAATCCCACCCCTCCTGGCTGAGCCTTTGCTCGCCCACCTGTCCTGGTGAAACTGGAAAGGCCTCCGGGCCACCAGTAATCCTTCAATCATAAAAAAAAAAAACATTATATGTCGACAGGATTTTGCTCCTTGTAATGACCCGCCAGCGCCTTCGATCATTGGCCGCATGAAAGGCGTTTACCATATAGTGTTTTATTTAAAAAAAAAATCGTTTTGTAAATATCGAACGTTTTCCGGTTAAAAAACAAAAAAAAACACCTGTGTTAACTTTCTCCATTTTTCCACGGCTGAATTGTTTGCGCTACCTATTCTCTAGTAGCCTATTTTACATTTAAATTAAGAAACGCTTCATCTTTTTTTTTCTCCTACCTATGCTGATGGCCTTAAGAGGCTATTTCAGCTCCGCCTTGACGTGTAGGTGAGCTCACGGGACTCAAACCGGAAGTGTTGCTAACACTGGCCCTGGCAAGAGCAGTGTTCCGCAGAGTCTACCACCGGATCGGAACACAACCCACTGAGAAGCTCAGTGGGCTGTGTCTATGGGTTACTTCGCTCGTCGAATCCTTCGTCGTAATCGACGAGCTTGACGAGGACGGTGACCGGTGCTTGAGAGGCCTAAAAGCACCGAGATTGAATCCGGCGGATCCGATAAAACATGTTTTGGGCGACGGCCTCTTTGTGTTGCCCCGTCGCGGTCGTATAAGAAGACGGCTAAACTTATTCACTTTTGTTGCATGCAGGCAGGCAGGTGTATTTGGTAGGCAGCGGCTTGACTCTGCCCACGGAATAGATAAATAAGGTTGGAAAGGCCTTTGCTCTAATTTTGTATTAGAACCAGTGTCGCCGCTTCATCCCCACTATTTTAATTTCTACACATACACATACTGTGATTACAAGTATTTCGCACACAACAAAAACACCCACACATAAATCTCAGGACAGATATTCGTTCGCAAACTAGCACAAAACACCCGTAGGCATACACACTCACACACGCAAAAAGGCAATAAAAATGTTCATACACGCTAGTGCTTGATAAAATCGATATTCTTTATCGATAAATTATCTGATGAATGAATGGAGAAAATGAAACATGAAATAAATATTGAAAAAAAAAACTATTTTACTTTTATTAATTACAAATAGTCACTGTCGCTGGAATAAAACGTATTTGTTAAGCAGTTGGCGCTTGCTATTAATTGCGAATGAATTTTTCAAAACTAAGTGTATTCTGATTTTTTTTATGATAAAATCATTTTCAGTAAAATGTTTAGAGCAAATAGTACTCGTCTTTGTCTCCAGTTTCCTCTACCTGTCACGTCAATCCATTGTTCCCTGGCGTTAGGTTCTTTAGGAAACCTAAAATTTTTAATTTACTGCATAAGTCAAATAGCATTTTACTTAGATTTTAATACGTCTTAGACAATATAGTAAATACCCGTAAATTAGAGGTCTACATGTCCCTTTATATTATACCTTCACTTTAATTCAATGATAATAATTCAATAATAATAATACATATTTATTTTACTCAAAATACGTCTCACTAAGAATATACTAGGTATCATTAATTAAATATAAAATAATGCAAAAATTATCCATGTCAAATGTAAATATAGTCGAGAATTCTGTCGATGATTTTACCACATGGTCACCTCACTATCGACAAACTGCACGGCCAATCAGGGCAAAGGCCGAAATTTCAAAGATTGAAGTGTAGAGAACGCAATGCATGTAGTACATTGGAAGCTGACTTGGTCATTGCGTTCATTGGGCGAGTACACATCGCGCAATGTATGCTATTTATAACTTGCTGCAATAATATTGTTAATGTTTGGAATTTCATAATGCTCAGTATATTTTTATGTTTTAGACAAATAATATTGTAATTAAATGGTAATTTCGACTTACCGATCGAAAGATATACCTCCTCGCTCTATACTTGAGGTCTGATTTTTTGTTTTATAAGTTATAATTGCACAACGGCACTATAAAGCGGAGATCTGTTCGCCCAAGTAGTCCGAAGCGCACTAAACGCGGTGAATGAAAGAATCGGTCGAGTATGTTTGTACAATCATAACTGTGGCACGCTTGCCCCGCCTACATTACCATTCCAAACTTATTTATCTATTCCGTGGCTCTGCCCCTGGCATTGCTGAAGTCCATGGGCGACGGTAACCACTTACCATCAGGTGGGCCGTATGTTCGTCTGCTTACACGAGCAATAAAGAAATAAAAAAGGCTCTCCATCTATGTTTTTTATGACCAATCTGGTGTTAAATGGTTATCGAGGCCCATAGACATTAACAACAAAAATGCTGCTACCCACCTTAAAACATGAATTCTAAGTCTCACTTTGACCGCCAGTCCCATATGGGTGACAGTGGAGCGTATTATCGAAATCAAATATATTAAAATATATTATCTCAAATATAATCTATGTTATTGACAGTACATCGACACAAAACTTATTACGCTTATTGTTAGCAGCTGTCAATAATACGCTCATTCATTGTACAAAAGTATGTCTCTTCTAATTCTTAGCATTTCTGTTTTAGTAAATAAAATATTAGTCAAATATGTAGTATAAAAGTTATCATAAATAATAATAACCAACAATTAAAAATACACAAAATGGGCAGGTAAAAATTATAATAATACCGTATGTTCCATTGGGAGTGCTCTGAAGAATTATTTGAGATGATTCCATCGTCTGGCTTTTACCATCGCACCGCCCGCCACCGGAGTAGAGTTCATCCATACTACCTGGAGCCACTGCGTTGATCCACAGTGCGTTTCCAAATATCTTTTTTGCCACGTACCATCCGGCTTTGGAATAAGCTCCTCTCCACGATGTTTTCCGAGCGCAATGACTTTTCCTTCTTCAAACGAGGCTTGTGGAGAGTGCTTAACGGTAGGCAGCGGCTTGGCTTTGCCTCTGGCATTCCTAAAGTCCATGATAACCACGGTAACCACTCACCACCAGTTGGGCCGTATGCCCGTCTTCCTACAAGGGCAATAAAAAAAAAACAAGCCTATTTTTGACAATTATTGAACTAATTTATTTTTAATTAATTATTAAAATTAATTACTAATTTTCCTAATAGTGGACGAGAGTATCCCTCGATATATGTCGCTAAATGCGTACATCAGATACGTGTGTGGTCTGACCGGGACTAAGGCGATGTGCCGTGAAGGAGGCTGCGGTGCTTGCATCGTCACAGTACGAGCCAAACGGTATCCCAGTGGAAAGACTGAAATATTTTCCGTAAATTCGGTGAGTTAATTATCTTTTTACGCATATTTACTATAATAATATGTTTGAATATGTACTTAGATACTCAAACAGAAAAAAAAACAAAGAGTTATAAGACTTATAAAAAATGGTGATATTTTGTAATGAAGTTCAAATTAAAGAAAATGAAATTAAGTACATCCGTATAGCAACTATAACTTCGCTTAATGAACAATTGTAAATATGTTAAAGTAAGAGATAAAATTTACTAATATTTTTTTTTTTTTTTTTTTATTGCTCAGATGGGTGGACGAGCTTACAGCCCACCTGGTGCTAAGAGGTTACTGGAGCCCATAGACATCTACAACGTAAATGTTTGACCACCCACCTTGAGATATGGGTTCTAAGGTCTCAGTATAGTTACAACGGCTGCCCCACCCTTCAAACCGAAACGCATTAAACTTACTGCTTCACTGCAGAAATGGGCAGGGTGGTGGTACCTACCCGTGCGGACTCACAGGAGGTTCTACCACCATTAACCTTTTTACTTATTTATTTATTTATTTATTCAACTTAATGCACATAAGTACAATGGCGGACTTAATGCCTGCCTTAATAATTATTGTTATTATTAAATTTAACATATTAACTTATTCATTGCAAAAGTAGCGGGACCGACAGACGTTGTCCTTTAAACATGTTTTATATGTGAAAATTCTAACTTTTTGAATAAGTTACAATAATACCGTTCTATTTCTTTTTTTCTCGCAGTGTCTCGTGCTTGTATTTTCGTGTCACGGTTGGGATATAAGGACAATCGAAAGCACTGGTAATAGATTGGACGGGTACAGTGATATTCAGAAACTCACCGCTTGTTTACACGGAACCCAGTGTGGGTATTGCACACCCGGGTGGATTATGCACTTGAATAGGTGAATTTTTATTATGAACTAGCCGTCCGCCCTCGCTTCGCTTCGGAAACATTAAACTTTATTATTGATAGCTGAGTCCCGCGATGTTACCCGCGGTACGACAATAAATGCGGGTGATGCCGCGGGACGAAGCTAGTCTAAAAAATCGGTTGTCTGTAAAGTCGGTTTACTGACGATAGTTGAACGTGACAACGTCATAAGAAAATACTGATGGAATGGTTTCATGGAATGGTTAATTTTATTTGTTTGATAGATATTTTGTATGGACAATTGACACTACATTCACTTTTCACTGAACTTCATACTTGACGAAAACATGTAAATGTATTATTATTGTATAGCAGCTGTCCACGCGGATGCATCGCTCACTCAAGTAGGAGAGAGACAGATGTCGAATGCTGCCGAACGTGGAGGCCGATTGTGCCTCTTTGTCGCTCGTTGCGCGCTCTCGCTTGCACTTCAAGCGTTAAATGGAACGCCTCAGAGCGAGGTAACGCCGCATGAGTCATGTTTTTTCGTGCGTGCAGCCGGCTCCATCGAATTATAAGACGTTGTCACGTCAAAAAGTAGCCTAAATTACTCCTTATATAATCAGCTTCCTATCAGTGAAAGTCTCGTCAAAATCGGTCCAGCCGTTCCAGAGATTAGCCGGAACAAACAGACAGACAGACAGACAAAAATTGTAAAAAAATTAATTTTGGTGTATGTACCGTATACATGAGTCGTCTATTATCAAAGGTGGCAATCGGTGCATTTGGACAATAAAATGTTATTGATATGTCAATACAGATTGATTTGAATATAATCGTCTCCTTCAAAGAATACAGTTCAAAACCTGCATTAAATAAAGTATTAACTTAACCTGTTATTTATCTAAGATGTCGTTCAGAAGAGTTTTGGGACTGCCAATGGAATACAAAGTCAATAATTCGTTTTTTTGATTTACCAAAAATTGTCCAAAAGTCACATTGCCGGTTTTGATAATAGTCGACTCATATATTCATATGCATGTCGTAAAAAGCGGTTATTTCAATACTACAAACATACACTCCAATTTTATTTATATGTATAGATAATTTAAATCACCCATATTTTGATGTTGCCATATTTCAGCTTAAAGGACAAGAATCTCACAATGGCGCAACTAGAAAAGTCTTTTGGGTGCTGCACGTGCCGCTGTACTGGATTCCGTCCAATTCTCGAGATAATCAAATCGGTCGCCATTGATGCTCCACCAAAATTAAGTCAGAGACTTAAAGATATAGAAGAAATTAGTACCTGCGCCAAAAAATGTCAAAGAAAATGTTCTGTTAAGAGTGATTGTAGCGATTGGAGTCTACTAGAAGATTCTGGGAGTGTCACGAAGATTGAATTGGACTTTGGGAAGTACAAATTTTATAAAGTATACGAAATCGTTGATATTTTTGATATTTTGAATAGAGATGGCGTGGATTCTTATATGCTTGTAGATGGAAATACGGGAAAAGGTAAAATTCTCTGGTCAATTTTTATTTATTTATTAAATGTAAAATTTACATTGGCGGACATTGGCGGACTAAGGCATTCTCTACCGGTCAACCAGATAGTGCAGAGTAAATAATGTACCTAGCATTGAAATTTATATTAAACTAGCTGACCCGGCAGACTTCGTAGTGCCTCAATCGATAAATAAAAGACAAAAGGAATCCGTCCGACGGGGGACACATCAAAGGACAAACAAAATTGTTATTTTGATTTTATTCCGAGCATTTTCATATTTATGTACCTTTTAAACCTTCTCTGGACTTTCACAAATAATTTAAGACCAAAATTAGCCAAATCGGTCCAGCCGTTCTCGAGTTTTAGCGAGACTAACGAACAGCTATTCATTTTTATATATTATACTAGCTGACCCGGCAAACGTTGTGTTGCCTTAAATAAGATTTCTAGGGAAATTCTAGTCTAATATATAAAATTCTCAAAAACCTCATTCAACCACATAATATAGTAAGCGGCACGTAAGTTGGCAAGGTTTTGGTGTAGTGGGGGTAATGTCGCGCATAGTGTACATTGCAACAAAAAAATGGTCACTTTTATTGCCCGCATATATGTTAATTTTATTTTATTAAATTTTTTATTTGCCATAATTTATTTTTAAGCTTGTGTGTTTAGAAGAAAGTTAAAGAAAAGAGAGGAATTCGTGAAGTGTGTTAGGTGTTATAAATAAAATACAATTAAAAGTTAAAAAGTTTATTTAAAAAAATATACTTAATATTAAAAATTATGTGTCGCCGTCGTCACTATCATTTTCTAATAGTGCTACCCCTTGGATTAAATTTATGGTAGCACCTGAGCTGGTGGAAGGAGTTGGCTCCTCATCGTCGACATAACGAAGAGTCGCTGTCGTCACTGGCGTAAATAATAAAACGCTCAGTGACTGAATCGATTATAATTATGGTCATTGGTATTT